AGAAAGACAAAGACAGAATGACAGAAAGCGAGAAATCACCCCCCAGGGGGGATGGCCACGCCGCAGTCCCTTCTCCATTCTCCTCTCAGGATCTTGGGCATGCACGCACATGCGCCTGGCATGAGTTTTAAGCCACCGGGTCCGGGACTCGAACTGCGGTTGACCACATGGGGGTCCAGCGACATAGCCATTACGCTAACTGCTGGTCCCTATGACTTAAGACATTTTTGATGTGTGTCTTTTTTTTTAGCTGATTTTGACTTTATAATCCCATTTAATTACCACCGATTCAATGTTTTACAGGATTCTTGGAAAAAAACAATGATCTCCTTTACAGACATTTGAAAGAAGTAAGTCTGAAACTTTGTGTTTCTAGTGGCTCTAACACTATTTCATTAGTGGAAATATCACTCATAACAGTTGAGGGTAGATTTTGTCTTCTAGGGGTTTCTCTTCCATACTTCGTGCTAGGACTTAAACATGTCATGCCCAAGACAGACACTTAAGGTCATCTGTGTGGAAGCTTCACTCAACAAACTGGTTCAAGTCTAGTTAGCAGTGACCAAGACAGAGACCTCGTTCTCGTGGGGCTTACCATCAAGGGTGGAGGGGACACAGAATAAATATACGCAAAAATAAGTTATCTATCAGCAAGAAGTGCTGTGAAGAAAATAAATAGAGAGGGACCAGCAGATGGCATAGCGGTTATATTGTGAGACTCCCACATGACTAACTGCAGTTCAAGCCCCGGACCTGGTGGTTTCAAAATCATGCCAGGAGTATGTGTGTGTATGTGTACCCAAGATCCCAGGAGGAAAGTGGAGAAGGGATTGCAGCATGGCCATTCCCCCAGGGGTGATTCCTCATTTTTGCTTTCACTGTCTTTGTCTCTCCAGCAAGCACAAGTACCCTAAGGCAAAAACCTTTGGGGGGAGGGAGAAAATGAACAGAGAAGTGTGATTGAAGAGGACATTTTTTATATGTAGGTGGTCAGAGAAAACACCCCTGTAGGGCTGACTTTGCACTGAAATCTGAATTAGAAAGATCAGAGGTCATTCCAGCTAGGGGGACCAGCACATGCAGAGGGCCCGGCCCACATGAGCTTGTATGTGTTCTGGAAAGAGGTAAAGGAGGGGTGAGGAGAGAAGGCGCCCAGCAGGGGGAGGTCCACAGGGAGGAATCGAGATTCGGGTCTGGTACAGTGGGATGTTGTGGGGCGACATGGCCTGAGGATGAGGAAACTGAGACCCAGAAGGTCCCCATCATGGAATGAGGAGCTAGGACTGCCCGTGGAATTTCCAGTCTCCTTCCACATACCTCACCAGTCAGAGAACCCTTGGGTTTTCAAAGCTTGTATTCTGTATTGAAATAGTTAACTGTTTTGTACAAAAATGGATTTCCTCTTATTAGCTTGGTTCATAAAAAGCTCAGACCCAGAGAGCAATGGCCGGCTGCAGAGACCCATAATTAGGAATGACTTATCTACCCTGAATCCAGAGAATTAGGGACAGGCAGTCCTAGAAGTGGTGGAGAAACCTCAGGAATGACAGAAAGCACTACTGACTGGGACCAGCAAGTAAGTGGTAGTTAAAAGTGCTAGACTCCCACATGGTCGCACATGGTTTGAGTCCCAGACCTGGTGACTTGAAAAATCACGCCAGGTGTATGTGCATGCCCAAAATCTTGATAGAAGAATAGAGAAGGGATTGCAATGTGGCCATCCCCCCTGGGGGTGACTTCTCCTTTTCCCTCTCTTTCTGTCTCTAGTGAGCACACACACACACACACACACACACACACACACACACCTTAAAAAACAAGCAAGCAAACCTCCTGATATGAAATATTGCCCTGTTTACTCTGAAAATGGCATGTTTAGGCTTAAGCTTTTTATGAACTAAGCTAGTATGAGGAAATCCAATTCTGTAAAAAAAAAAAAAAAAAAAAAAAAAAGTTAACCGTTTCAATACAGAATACAGGTTTCAAAAACCCCAAGTTCTCTGACAGGAGAGGCATGTGGCAGGAGACAGGGAATTGCATGGGCAGTCCCAGGGCTAATTCCAGCTCTCGACTTGCAGTGTCCTAGCAGCCCACACCACCGCAGCTGGCCCGGACTCGGAATTGGACTGCTCCCAGGACCTCATACAATATTGGTCTTTTCATGGCTGGTTTATCTCACTTAACACAAAAATCAGATTTGGAAGTTCTCAAGGTTCTTACCTGTTATGGCTTGTGTCAGAATTCCCTTCTAGGACTAGCTGGTGGTATATCAGTTAAGGCAGCTGCATCCCATGGGTCAAACTGTGCGGTTTGAGTTCCAGACTTGACTGATGGAAAGATGTGCTGGGTGAGTGAGCATTAGTGCCCAAAATCCCAAGAGGAGAATGGAGAAAAAGGGACTGCAGCGTGGCTCTGTCCCCTGGAGGGATGATTTCTCGCTTTCTCACTTTTTCTCTCCCTCTCTCTCTCTGGCAAGCGCACATGCCCTATAACAAATTCAAAACAAAACCAAACAAAAAATTGGCTTTTAACGGATGAATGCTATTCCATTGTATGTATATGAAGAAAGTAAATTTTAGTATAGGGTTACTTTTTTAAGTAGGGATTTTTGTAATGTAGATTATGCACAGTAGGGTGGGGAGATTACACAGTATAAAACCGAGTGTCCTTGGCCTGAGAGACAGAGAGAGAGAGACAAGCACCCTCAGCAGGGTCTCATGCCAGGCTCCTCATCCTGGCTCTCCCAGGCGGCCAGGATCACGGTGTGTCCCGGTTGCCCAGGGACTGAAACCCATGGGTCTCCCATAGGGATCCAGCTCTGCTCAAGCAGCACGTCACCACTGTACCACCAGGCTGGCCCTCTGTGTTGCTTTTTAAATTTAATACCATTATCTCAGGGATAATGATTTTTTTTTAAGGGAGATTTTTGTTATAGAGTGCTTGTGCTTGCCAGAGAGGTAGAAAGCGAGAAATCACCCCCCCCAGGGGGGATGGACACACCACAATCCATTTTCCTCTTGGGATTTTGGGCACACATGCACCCAGCGTGAGTTCTAAGCTGCTAGGTCTGGGACTCAAACCATAGTCGACTATGTGAGAGTCCAGTGATGTAACCATTATGCTATCCCATTTTTTTTTCCTCCTTCATTCTTTTCCTGGGATTTTGGGCATGCACATGAGCCTGGCATGAGTTTAAACCTCTGGGTCTGGGACTCAAACTGTGGTTGGCCATGTGTGAGTCTAGTGCCTTAACCACTGCGCCACCTGTTGGCCCCCTTTGGGATGATTCTTAAAGAGTTGGTTTATTCTATAGCACTAGGTTGGACGAGGAACAATTTTTATTTCAGCATGTCAAAGAAACAGCCTCAGCAAGCAAAGCAGTGGACATAGCATTTGAATGCTTTCCTCCATGTTCGATTGTATGTTTCCCCTTTTTACATTAGAACTGTCTTTAGTCCTCAAGAAGCAGATGGTTCCATTGCCTCACACATGCTTCTGTCCCCTCCTGAAGGCCCCGTAGCAGTTGCTGAAAGAGCCAGCATGGTCCTCGGGTCTGTTCACTTGCAGGTACTGTGCAGGTCCAAGAACAGCATCCTGAGGCAATGCTTCCTGGTGGCCGAGTTAGAAAACCGGAGGAGGTCGCCAACCGTGAGTGAGAAAGATGTTCCTGCAGAATTGGGAGGGGACAGCCAGTGGGGTAGAGGTTACCGTGGCTGGTTCCCATATGGCCAACTGCACGTTTCAAATCCTGGACCCAGTGCCTTGAAAAACATGCCAGGTGCATGTGCATGTGTGCTCCAAACCCTGAGAGGAGAATGGAGAAGAGAGAGTGCGGCCACAGCCCTGGAGAGTACTTTCTTACTCTCTCTTTCTGTCTCACTTTCTCTCTGTGAGCACACACACGCTATAGCAAATTAAAAGAAAAAGAAATCAGCAGATAACACAATGGCTACATCACTGGACTCCCATGTAGTCAACCGCGGTTCAAGTCCCGGACCCAGTGGCTTAAATTCACGCCGGGTGTGTGTGCATGTGTGCCCAAGATCCCAGGAGGAGAATGGAGGAGAAGGGATTGCGACATGGCCATCCACCCTGGGGGGTGATTTCTCGCTTTCTGTCTCTCTGTCTCTCTCTGTCTTTCTGGTGAGCACATGTGCCCTATAGCAAAAACCTCTCCAAATGAAAAAAAAAGAAGAAGAAGAAGAAAAGAGAAAAAGAAATCACTTAGGGTGTGGAATGACTTCTAATTACTTATAGGTTTTAAACTGCCCTCCATTTTCTGAAAGTATCATTCACTAACAGATTTTTTTTTAACTTATTTCTTCTGCAAGTAAGAGAGACAGAGTCAGACAGCACCCCCGACAGAGTCTTGTTGCCACAATCCACCCCCTGCCTCAGCCAGCCCCGGGTCGTGGCACGTACATGCCCTGTGTACTCAGGGAGGTCTCTGGATACTAACACAGAACCTTCCCATGTGGGCCAGCCTCACAGATTCTAATAGACACTACCCACATTTGGCATCATCCCTTGCAGACATTCGCTGGGCACCTCCTGTATGTCAGGCACTGTACTGGGCACAGGGGTTTAGCACTAGTGCACCAGACACTCTCTCTCACCTATCCCTCTCTAGTCAAATTTAAAAAAAAATAAATGGATAAATAAAGTTATTTATCTTAATTTGACCAGAAAGTGACAAAATGTGTGTGTGTGAGAGAGAAAGAGGGAAACTGAGAAAGCAAGCCACCAGGTCCAGGACTCAAACTGTGGTTGGCCATGTGGGAGTCCAGCGCCCCTCGCCACCATGCCGCCTGCCGGCCTCCCCAAAGACTGCTCTTAATGGGCAACGTGGTAAGAAGTAGGATAAGCTGTCCAGTGTCTGGGTGTAAAGGCCTGGAACCTGGCCAGCTGCGTCTATGACATTACACTCCACAGCACGGGGGCCATCATGGGAAGGACCCGGTTCACGTCTCAGGATCTCCCTAGACGGGCTAGGTGTGCACACGTGTGCCTGGGAGTCTCCCTGGCTGAGGCTAGGAGGAGTATGATGTGTGAAGACCCTGTGGGGGTAGCTCCCCACCCCAGTGTCTGTCTGTCTCTCTCTTTCATGAAGAAAGAAGTACATTTTTAAAAACATCTGAATATATTAAATGGCCGAAGCCTTGTACCCTCCAGGTCCACTCTGTCTGAATGGGAAGGGGTGATGCCTGGTGCACACCTGGCTCGCGCTCTCTCCTGCAGGTGGGCACCCAGTTTAAGAACAGCCTGAGCAGCCTTCTAGAAATCCTCATCTCCAAGGAACCCTCGTACATCCGCTGCATCAAGCCCAACGAGAGGAAAGAGCCCAGTGAGTTGTAAATCATTTTGGGCCCAGAGATCAGGGAAAAGAGCCCAAGAGGAAAACCAAGATGGCAGCCAGTTATACCCTAAAAACTGGGGCCAGCCCGTGGCCTGGTGGCTAAGGTGGCTGAATCCCACACAGCTGACAATGTAGTTTGAGTCATGGAACCGGCAGCTTGAAAAACATGCCGGGCACGTATGGATATGTGTCCAAAATCCCGAGAAGAGGGAGAAATGGAGAAGGGATTGCAGCATGACCAGCCTCCTGGTGGGGGGTGGGGTGCTTTCTTGCTTTCTCTCTCTCGTGAGCATGTGTGCCCTCTGACAAAATTTTAAAAAAGGAAAAACTATATTCTAAAAACCCCACTAAATTCTAAAAAACCCCACAGACCCACTCATTGCCCTCTGTGTGTGATGACTCATATCCTATTGAAATAACAGGAGGTAAATGAATTGGAAGTTCAACCTAGAGGGGGCATTGCTCAGCGTGTGCCTGGACGTGCATCAGGCAGGTGTCCGAGGTAAGGGGAGGCAGTATCGCTTCTCTCCAGATAGGGAACAGTCTTCCAAAACACTCCATGACTTGGGTATTTTCTAAGCTTGAGCCAGGGTCTGTAACAAAATTGTACAGTCACAGCCTTACGGAGGCCAGGCAGAAAAAAAGCAAATGAGTGTAAGGCAATAGGGAGTGGTGGGGACTGTGGCAAACTAGAGAGGACAGCACTGTTCCCCTCCAGCCAGCTGTGGTCACGAGGGACTCTCATCCCTGTATGGCTAGATCTCATAATTTTTCAGAAGAAACCAGAAATTTAGATTTTCCTAGGAAATTAAAAAACTGGTCAAGAGAGCCAGATCTCACACAGCCAGCTGTGCATGTTGAATCCCAGCCCCAGTGGCTTGAGGGACACTCTGGGTGCGAATGCATTAACGCCCACGTGCTGACAGGAGGAGGAGGAGGAATGCAGAAGGGGTTGCAGCATGACCGCACGCCACTCGTCGTCCTCTCTTCCCCGAACCTCTGACTCCCTCTGGTGAGCACACGCATCCCCTGTTTATAAACAAGTAAAAATTAAATCCGCCCGGGACCAGCAGATGGCATAATGCTTAATGTTGCTGGGTTCCCACATGGCCAACTGCAGTTCGAGTCCTGAACCCAAAGGCTTGAAACTCACTCCAGGCACATGTGCGTGTATGTGCACCCAAAATCCTGAGAGGAGGATAGAAGAGAGGGGATTGTGGTGTGGCCATCTCCCCTAGGGGGTGACTTCTTGCTTTCTGTCTTTCTGGTAAGCACATGTGCTTTATAGCAAAAACTAAAAAAAAAATTAAAAAAAATAAAAAAAAAAGAAGGAAGAAAAAGAGGGACCAGCAGTTGGCATAATGGCTACATCGCTGGACTCCGATGTAGTTAACCGCGGTTCGAGTCCCAGACCCGATGGCTTAAACTCATACCAGGCACATGTGCGTGCGTGCCCAAGATCCTGAAAGGTGAATGGAGGAGAAGGGATTGTGGCGTGACCATCCCCCCTGGGGTGATTTCTTGCTTTCTGTGTCTCTGTTTCTCTCTGTTTTTTTCCTGGTGAGTGCACATGCTCTATAGGAAAAAACCTCTCCAAAAAAGAAAAAAAATTTAAATACCCCCATTTCCAAAAGCCTGGGACAAGCATGTGGCATAGTGGTAAAGGTGCTGGACTACCACATGGTCGACCACAGTTCAATTCCTGGAGCTGGAAGGTTGAAGATCATGCCAGACACGTGTGTGTATGTGTGTGTGTGTGTGTGTGCCCAATATCCCAGGAGGAGAAAAGAGAAGTGGTTGCAGTGTGGCCATCCCCCCAGAGGGTGATTTCTCACTTTCTCTCTCTCTCTGTCTTTAGGAAGTGTACATGCCCTGTGGCAAAAAAATTTTTAAAACAGGGACCAGCAGATGATGAAATGGTTACATCACTGGACCCCCACATAGCTGACCATGGCTTAAGTCCCAGATCCAGTAGCTTAAAATTCATAGGCACTTGTGCGTGCGTGCCCAAAATCCCAAGAGGAGAATGGAAAAGGGATTGCGGTGTGATCATCCCCCTTGGGGGTGACTTCTTGTTTTCTGTCTCACTCATTCTCGGGCAAGGACACACACCCTATAGCAAAAATCTCTCATAAGAAAAAAATAATAATCATTAAAAACAAAGACAGACAAACAAAAATAACACAACAAAGCCTAAGAAAACATGTCTGTGGCTAGACCCAGCCTATAGACCTCCAGCTTTCGGCAGTCTCCGTGTGTTGGGGTCGAAACGGAGCCATGGGGCCCCTCACTGTCATTCTCTGTCCTGTTTCTCCAAAGGCAAGTTCGACGACCTCCTCATACGGCATCAGATCAAGTACCTGGGGCTGATGGAGCACCTGCGGGTACGGCGGGCCGGCTTTGCGTACCGGCGGAAGTACGAGCACTTCTTGCAGAGGTAAAGTTTGCTCGGTGGCTCTGAAACCCGGAAAACCAGGTGCCTAGTACTTGAGCGCGGCTCCGGGACGTGGTGATAAATACAACTGGTGCCTCTAAGGGAGCTCAGGTTAGTTCTTTTTTAAAAAAAATATTATTTATTTAATTTATTCATTCATTTCTTTTAATTTGACCAGACACACACACAGAAGGAAAGAGACTAAGGAAGCCACCAGGTCTGGGACTCGAACCATGCTTGGCCATGTGGGAGTGTCCAGCACCTTAGCCACCACACCACCTGCTGGTCCCCGCAGGTTAGTTCTTAACTGCTGTAGTTGTGGTAGCAGTATCACTAACACTTTGCCTTTCTGTTTTTTTTTAATTGCTAGAGGGTTCAGCATGTGTGCTGACCAGAGAGCGAGATTAAGAACAGTCACCTCCAGGGTGTGAGCACACTGCAGTCCCTTCTCCTTTTTTTTTTTTTTTAAAGAATTTAAAATTTTATTTATTACTTTTTAAGTTTGATCAGAGAGAAAGAGCGAGAGAGAAAGGGAAAGTGAGAAAGCAAGCCACTGGGACTCAAACCACAGTCAGCCATGAGAGAGTCCAGCATCCCACCCACCATGCCACCTGCCAGCCCTTCTCCTTTTCTGTATTCCTCACACACACACAAACATGCACATACACACATGTGTACAATATGTTTTCCAAGCCACCAGGACTGGAAATAGAACCGCAGTTTGCCATGTGGGATACAGCTCCATTAACCACTAGGCTATGGGGACATTCTGAACCTGTAAAAGCCCAACTTCTTTACCATCTTTGATTCATTCGAAGCCCAACTTCTCCTCTCAAGGGCAAGGCCGAATGCATAGACCCACCACCAGGGGGCAGATCCCCCCCCCCCCCCCCCCCCCTTGACTCTGGAGTCCTTGGGAAAGAGCTTCCCGGCCAGCAGGTACCGCTTTAGCCCCGTGGACTGTAAGAGCAGCAGGTGCAGTGGCTGTGAGAGCACGGGCTTTGAGCCGCACACACCTGGAATCTTCACACTTTCGCTTTCTCCTGTAGCTGTGAGCTACTTTCATGCCTGTAACCCGAGGATCAAATCTTCTGAGCTCAGGGAATTAAGAATTCAGTTGCCATCCTCCCAAATTGCTCATACTCTGACACTTCCTTGGTGATGGGCTGCGTGTGCATTTTTGCTATGAAAATAGTGATAGACTCTGACACTCTCAAGATAAGCATTCAGACTCTTACACTCTCAAGATAAGCATTCTAGGGACCAATAGATGGCATAATGGTTACGTTGCTGGACTCCCACATAGTCAACCATGATTCGAGTCCTAGACTGGCAGCTTAAACTCCTGCCAGGCATGTGTGTGTGCATGCCCAAAATGGAGGAGAAAGGATTGAGGTGTGGCCATCCCCTCTGGGGAGTGATTTCTTGCTTTCTGTCTCTATGCCTCTGTCTCTATAGCGAGCACACGTGCCCTATAGCAAAAATCTCTAAAAATTTTTTTAAAAGATAAGCATAATAAAGTGGGCATTTCTGCAGGTCAGGATGGTTGTGTATCAGCAATTTCATGTGGTTCCGCCTCGTATTAGGCTTTGAGTTTAATCATCTGAGGAATTGCCAGACTGCCTTTTGGGACTGGTGACGGGCCTCCTTTGCCCACCTTTGCTCATCAGCTCTGTGCCATTCAGCCTCACCCTGGATTTGATTTCTCTTTTTCTTCAATTGCCAGCAGGCGTGTGTGCTCACCAGGGGGAGAAGGAGAGAGAAAAAGCATCCCCCTACCATGGGGCATAGTTACACCACAATCCCTTCTGCTCCATCTCTCTACCCTGTAGGGATTTGGAGAACACACGCACACACACCCAGCATGTTTTTCAAGCCTCCAGGGTCAGGATTCGCATCATGATCAGCCATGTGGGTTCTGTCTCCCTTAACCAGCAGGCCCAGGGACCAGCCCCCTGAACCTGGTTGCTGGTGACTCGGACTTCCCAGCTGGCAAGCAGTGGCAGTCGCAGTCTACCTCCCCTCCCCTCCCAAACACTTACGCGTCTGATGTGTCCATCTTCCTGACTATATTTCTTTTTCTACTTTTGCTGCTGTTTGAGGCTCATTTACACTTCCCATAAACTCCAGGGAGCAGCCATGTTCCTAGGTGCTGGGCAACAGCAGAGAACAGCACACATCCCACCCCTGCCCCCGCCCCCAGGGGTTTACTTTCTAGTGGGGGAGACCAGCAGGAACAGGTGTATGAGGCCAGGTGGGGATACATTCTTTGAAGAAGAGTGAATCTGGATAAGGGGGTCAGGGAGGGTCTCTCCAGGTGCCTGCTTCCAGCTTTAGTCTATCAGCACTTCTGAATCCCATATCTTCTGAATCCCACATTCATTTATCTCACTACATTGCAGGCATCACCGTTATCTTCATACAGGCTGCATATTAGAAAAGAGCTGGATGTTAGAATCAGGTTCGCAAGTCAGCATCGGAGCCAAGTCTTTCCTGGAAAAATCCCTTGTCACTTCCTGAGCATGGCAGCTTTTCCTTTGGTGGAGCCACAGGTGCTTGCCTGTTCATTTGTCCACTGATTCTCACTTTTGGCTACTGTGAAGAGCGCTGCTGTAAACGTTTGTGGACATGCTTTTATGGACATGTTTGTGTTTCTCCTGGGTGTAGACTTAGGGGTGGAATTGAGTCCCTTGGGTCTAGGGTCAGATGATGTCATTGTTCTATGAAAACAGACCAACCACCCATTCTTTTGATGTCATTGTTCTATGAAAACAGACCAACCATTCATTCTTTTGAAACAGTTTCTCTCTCTTTCTCTCTATCTCTCTCTTTTTCTTTGTTTTCTTGTCAACCCTGTGTCCTTTTTTAAAAAATAAATTATTTTTATTATTATTTTAATTTTGTTATAGGACATGTGCATTCACCAGAGAGAGAGAAAGAGAGAAAATGAGAAAGCAAGCCATCAAGTCCAGGATTTGAACCATGGTCAGCCATGTGGGAGTCCAGCACCTTAACCACTACACCACCTGCTGGCCCAAAGTATGTGTGATGAGGCTACTACAAGCACTGAGTGACTTACCTACCCTAGCATAACTAGGCAGACTTCTGGGATAAGGGAGAGGCTGGAGGACCATGACAATGGCTTCTAGATACCTCTCTCTTCTCCCTGTAGGTACAAGTCCTTGTGCCCTGACACCTGGCCACACTGGCGCGGACCTCCAGCAGAGGGAGTAGAACGGCTGATCAAGTACATCGGCTACAAACCCGAGGAGTACAAGTTAGGCAAGTAAGTGGCCAGGAGACTGCATTTCTTCCTTTGCTTGAGGTTTCATGCTTTGATCTGTATCCATTTGGAGCCTGGAGGCTCATTTTTTAGGGATTTATGGAGACTTACAAGCAGATGCTTTCATCCACTTAATTTAAAGGCTGTTCCAGGGGCCTGGCAGTTGTGAGGTGGTAAAACTGTGAGGTTCTGTAGAGCTTCTGACCCATGGAGGAAGGCTCCCAGTTCATATCTGATGATCTTGTTGAGTATTCCAGGCATGGAACTTACCCATGATCTGAGGCTGGCTGAAGGCTGAGGGTGGGTTGTGGCATTGAGATCCAGTTGGTGGTACTATCTTGCTGTCTCTCTCTTTCCTACTCATGAAAGAAAGATGTAAATGATTAGAAGGGTCATGGCACAGCCAGTTGGAGGAAATGAAGTTATAAAGGAGCCCTGTGCTCTAAACCTGATGCAGCAGGTGGGAAGAGCCGTTTTACTTGCAAACTGAAGGGAGACCAGGGTGGACCACCTGACTTGTGTGTGCCAGACTCTTTCATCTTCAATGTGTGCATGACTTCTCAGAGGCAATTTTAGGATCTGTATGATGTGAAATCATCTGTAGCCTCCCAGAAAGTGGTGTTCTAGACCTCCGGAGTTGTATGACTACTGAGTTGTAGTCCATGTATAAAGAGCTTTCGTTCATGATGAGAGCTTTCAGTCAACTCAGTGGGATTAATCAGGATGATCTGAGCCTCATCTCTTAGTCATTTTGGTAAGAGATACTTTAGTTGCAAAGAGCAGAACCCAGGAATGAAGAGGACTCATGTTCAGACTACAGAGCTCCCCTGCTTCAGTCATCTCTGCCTTCATATCTATCCATGGACTTTCCCACTTGTTCACAGCTCTCTAGCCACCCTGGGACCTCTCCATCTTTAGACTCCTATTCTGGGCCCTGCTCCAAGAAAAATGTCTTAGTCTACTATTGCATTGTTAACAAAAATACCTATGACTGGATAATTTATAAAAATAGAGGTTTATTGGATTCACGATTCTGGTGGCTACAAAATCCAAAGGCACTGAAAAATGGCAGAGGTCAGAACTCTGAGCAGAGCATGGTTTGTATCCACTTGGGTTTCTGCCTCATTCTCTCTCCTTATATATCCACCAGAACTCATTCATGGGTGGTGTTCTAGCCACTGTCACTAATCTCTTCCCCAGGATGAGACCGTAAACAGATGAAATGTACACCCTCTTGGTCCTGTTACAATGACTTAACATGTTAGTTTTGAGGGGACATATTTAAACTATAGCAAATCAGTTACTTATTCAGTCTAGATATGTGAAGGAGAATCAGATTCAGCATATCCCGAGGAAGGCAAGCCATGGAGTTCAGAAGTGGTTTCTGACCCAGTTCTATAACTGGGGTAGGAAAGCAGGATCCTATGACGTGACACTGCTGCCCCCCAGTGGCTGTCTGGAAATTTTCCCTCCCATATGAGTGTGTGGGTGGGACAGGCATTATTCTGAGGCCAGTGTTTGTCATTTCTGCAGGATAATGGGATTTTCTCTTGGTTATCATTTTTTAATGCCAGGAGCATAACTGGAAGCAACTTTAGGATGGTATATGTGATTTCCTAGGGCCACACACCAAATTACCACTACTTAAAAACTGGCTAGTTTAAAGCAACAGAAATAATCCACTCATTTTCTGGTAACCACAAAATCAAGGTGTTAGCAGGGCAGCCCTCCTTCTGGAGCCTCTCGGGAGGATCCTTTCTTGCCTCTCCCAGCTCCTGCTGGCTCGGGAGGATCCTTTCTTGCCTCTCCCAGCTTCTCCCTTGGTATTCTTTGGCTTGTAGCTCCATCCCTCCAATCTCTGCCTTCAGCTTCACATGGCCTTCTCTGCGTCCTTTCCTGTCTAAGGATACTTGCACGGGATTTAGGACCCACCATAATTCAGTATGGTCCCCTCTCCACCCTTTTCTTAATTACAACAGCAAAGATCCTGTTTCCAAATAAGATCAGAGGTTCTGATGGGAATTAATTTGGGGGGACACTATTCAATCCACTACAGGTGGTAACTGGTCAATTAATAATTACATTTCTTTTCACTTCTAGAACCAAAATATTCATTCGTTTCCCCAGAACTCTGTTTGCTACCGAAGATGCCTTTGAATTTAGCAAACATCAATTAGGTATGATTTCTCTGCCTTTGAATTTAGCAAACATCAATTAGGTATGATGAATGTGAAATGCACATTTGTCTTGGGGATACATCTTGAACATGGGTGTTTGATATGTTAGAGACATTTGCTTTGGAAATCAAGAACAAGATACAGGATGAGGATAAGATAAATTTACACCTTCACAAGTACTGGAGGGCAGGGCATGAATACAGGCAGGAACATAAATGTCATGCCGCCACCTTTCCAGTTTGGGCCAGATGGCTCACATAAAAAAATCTCAAAATCATGGCAGTCCACCTCCCCGCCCTCTTATATTAAGGTTTCATTTACATCAACATTTCATTATATAAGTATCTGATGTGGGAAGCCAGAGCTTCATGGCCTGCAGCCAGGGTGTTTGTTGTGCATGGTGAATGAGAAAAGTTAGATTGGGAGGATGGGGAGAGCAGGTACAAAAAATAAGGAAATGTAAACTACTGTGGGAAGAGGGCTTCTCCCTTGAAATCTACGCTGGCCGGTCAAGAAGGGCCATGCTTGCGTCATCTGGGTGCCTTCCACGTGCTGAGTCCTCTATACCCACAATCTCATTTTATTCTCAGAACCAGCCTATGGGAGAAGGGGTGGTAATGTAGCATCACCCCATTTTATACTCAGGGAAACTGAGGCACAGATGTTGGCCACTTGCTGAAGGTCACCCAGCTAAGCAGCACCAAGACCTGGGGCTTGAACATGAGTCTGCCCAGGTTCCAGGCCTTGGCTTGTAACCAGTCCGGTGCATGGTCTTATTTCGACCTCTGCAGCGCTGGGTACCAAGAGCTGGGATCCAGGATCTGGGCGGAGGCAGATGCTGGCTCAGCCAGGCGGCGAGGAGCCTGGGCCAGGGTCTAACCAGCTCCCAGGGCGAGTGTGTGCGTTGTGGTCACTCAGCCCTGGGTTCACACACCCCACCCCCACCCCCGCAGCAGCCACACCGCCTGAAGCCCAGTGCGTGTCCTCACCGCCTGAGCCAGCACGCACTTTTTCATTTGTAAAAGGAACAGACGACGTGCGGAGCCATGCCCGTGATCGGAGGCTGGCTTACTCACCACTGGGCCTGCTCCTTCCCCTGGGGAAGGAGAGACAAAGACAGGAAAGGAGGTGCCGCTCCTGGGCAGTGTCTGGGAGCCAGGCTTCGTGACTTGCCCACTCCCATTTCTGCCACGCTGAGTCAGCTTCCTGTGTCACGGCCACACTGCGGACCTTCGAAGGCCACTTCCAATGTCTCCCCCTCCCAAACCCTGGAGGTCACAGCCACAGAGATGTATAAATGAAAGCTGTTTAATCAAAATTTTCGTTTTATTTTAAGTGGCAAAAATCCAAGCCACATACAAAGGCTGCATGGGAAGGAGAGAATACGTGAAGAAGAGACAGGCAGGTAAGCATTCCGCCGGCATGCACAGGTGTGCAGGGGCTGAGTTATACCCTCTCCTTGCACCCACCTGGCCCCTGGGGGTGGATGCTTGCCCGTCTCTCCTGCTGCCTCCTTGAGACCTTGGCGTGGGGCTGCCTGGGGGCCAGTTCTGGAACCTCCCTTGTTTTTCCTTTACTGACCAGAGACTAACGTATGGCCTGTATGTGTCCCACAGACGTGTTTCATCTGACCCGCAACATGTGTGTGTTTAGAGAGTATGTTTTTCCTGTCCCCATTATGTTCTCAAATGCCCTATCCCCTCCCCAACACAGACACACACACTTCTTGGAAGTGTAACTCTTTCTCTAAGTGCTTAGAATTCTTGTTTAATTTTTGCCTGAGGACACCACTGTGTGATACTAGAGCCACACAGGAGGCCCGGGTTGCAGTTTTGGGCTGACCTGAACATGCCAAGTATACCCGTAAATACCGGTGATTTTGGCAGGTTGGAGGGGGGAATCACAGCATGGGGAGAGCCTATCAAGGGCACCTGCTTCTGCTTCTCTCCCTCTTTTCCTCCCTCTCTCTCTCATGACAAAAATAAGCAAACTTAGGGACCAGCTGGTGATGCAGCAGTAAAATGCGGTGCTCTGCGAGGCTGACCCACGTGGGAAGTTAGTAGTTCAAGTCCAAAGGCTTCCTCAAGTATGCTGGGCATGGACCTGGTGCCAGGACCTTGTTGAGGGTGCTCTTTGGTGTCTCTCTTGCTCATGAAAGAAATAGAGAACATAAAATAAACTTAGAAAAGATCATTTTTGTAGGCCCCGATTTGCCATGTATCCCAATTTTTAAATATTGACAACTAGGGGCCCAGCAGGCGGTGTAGTAGTTAAGGGGCTAGGCTTCTACATGGCTGACCATAGTTCAAGTCCCATCTAGTGGCTTAAAACTCACACCAGGTGTGGGTGTATGCATGCCCAAAATTCCATACGTGAGGAAGAGACAGGCAGGTAAGCATTCCGCGGGCACGCACAGGTGTGCAGGGGCCGAGTTATACCCTCTCCTTGCACCCACCTGGCCCCTGGGGGTGGATGCTTGCCCGTCTCTCCTGCTGCCTCCTTGAGACCTTGGCGTGGGGCTGCCTGGGGGCCAGTTCTGGAACCTCCCTTGTTTTTCCTTTACTGACCAGAGACTAACGTATGGCCTGTATGTGTCCCACAGACGTGTTTCATCTGACCCGCAACATGTGTGTGTTTAGAGAGTATGTTTTTCCTGTCCCCATTATGTTCTCAAATGCCCTATCCCCTCCCCAACACAGACACACACACTTCTTGGAAGTGTAACTCTTTCTCTAAGTGCTTAGAATTCTTGTTTAATTTTTGCCTGAGGACACCACTGTGTGATACTAGAGCCACACAGGAGGCCCGGGTTGCAGTTTTGGGCTGACCTGAACATGCCAAGTATACCCGTAAATACCGGTGATTTTGGCAGGTTGGAGGGGGGAATCACAGCATGGGGAGAGCCTATCAAGGGCACCTGCTTCTGCTTCTCTCCCTCTTTTCCTCCCTCTCTCTCTCATGACAAAAATAAGCAAACTTAGGGACCAGCTGGTGATGCAGCAGTAAAATGCGGTGCTCTGCGAGGCTGACCCACGTGGGAAGTTAGTAGTTCAAGTCCAAAGGCTTCCTCAAGTATGCTGGGCATGGACCTGGTGCCAGGACCTTGTTGAGGGTGCTCTTTGGTGTCTCTCTTGCTCATGAAAGAAATAGAGAACATAAAATAAACTTAGAAAAGATCATTTTTGTAGGCCCCGATTTGCCATGTATCCCAATTTTTAAATATTGACAACTAGGGGCCCAGCAGGCGGTGTAGTAGTTAAGGGGCTAGGCTTCTACATGGCTGACCATAGTTCAAGTCCCATCTAGTGGCTTAAAACTCACACCAGGTGTGGGTGTGTGCATGCCCAAAATTCCAGGAGGAGAATGACGGAAAAGGGACTGCAGTGTGGTCATCCCCTCACAGGGTGATTTCTTACTTTCCTTCTATCTCTGTCTCTCTCTGGTGAGCACATGAACTGTATGCCAAAAACCTAAAAAAAAAAAAAAACTGACCACTGTATCAACGTAAACACTGAATAGGATAAACCAAAAACATTGTGGAAGATTGATCTGTACCCTCACAGTCCTGACTTCAAGAAATGACCCTCTCGTGTAATTTCGGGGCTTCCCACAGCACCCTTTGTTGGTCTGTCTCCTGGCTCCGCTGTCTGCGTGACCCAGGTGAGAACTAGCAAGGTGTGTCCATTTTCCATCCCGGGGACTAGAGGAGTGCTGAGGTGGGCACCCAGCTGTCCAGTGGATGAGTGCTTCCAGGAAAGCCTTTCGCATCTGCCTTTGATTGCGCTCGCCCTCTAAGGCCAGCAGTGAATTCTTTCAGCCATCAAGCTGGAAACCCACTGGCGTGGAGCCCTGGCGCGGACGGAGGCCAAGAGGAGGAGGTGGGCTGTGCAGGTGATAAGAAGGTAAGTCCTCGGGTACGGCAAGGAGGGGAGGGCGCCACGAGCTGGCGCACTGCAGTGGGTGCACACGGTTTGGTGGTGCGTTTTGTGGCTTTTAGATTTGTGCAGAAAGGCCATCGTCCCTGAGGAATGCTGTAAGGAATTCAGTCCCATCTCTGCTCTGAGCTCAAATCTGGTATCTGCTAGGGTGGTGATCACACCTCAGTATATTTGTATTTCTCTTAGCCTAGCTCAAAAGTCAGAAAGTCAAATGCTTTCTTAGGCCAGGCAGGTGAAGTGAGTCTCACAAGCTGAGATAAGGCAATAGGGGATGGTAGGGACTGCCGCAACCCAGAACTCAGTCCACCTGTGGGGGGAGGGAGCATTAACTAGGCCATTCTAGTTAACTGCCGCCATAGAGGAGGGCCAGTGATGCTGCCAACTTGATTTTTTTTAATTTGCCAGAGGGTGTATGTGCTCACCAGACAGGGACAGAGGCAAGGAGAGGGGGAAAGTACCCCACAGTGGGGTGTTGTCACGCTATAGTCCCGTCTCCGTTATTCCATCTTGTTGGGATCTGGGGCACAGATGCACACATGCCCAGCATGATTTTCTGTTATTTTTTTAAATACTTATTTTTAAAATTCCATTTATTATTATTATTATTTTTTAATTTGACAAGAGAGAGGGAAAACAAGAAAGCAAACCATCAGGTCCAAGACGCAAACCACAGTTGGCCACTGGCTCCTGCCCAGCATGTTTTTCAAGCTGCTGGGTCTGGGACTTGAATCATGCCTGGGCTATGTAAGATCTGCTTCCTTAATTGGTAGGCCAAGGGGCTGGCCCTAGATCACTTGATTTGTGTTTTAAGGAAAGCTGAAATCTGGCATCATGAAGTATTTCCTACCCTTTAAAAACAAAACAAAAACTGGCAACTAATTCAAGCTACTCCAAACAAAACAAAAAGGAATGTGGGTAAAATAGAACCTATCTTTGGGGCAGATCTGGCCTGTGGGCTGTAAATTGGCCTCTGGCCTCTGGGGTCATGTCAGTAACCTCGCCCATCTTGGCTCCTCTGCATTAAACAGATGGGGAGAGAACCTAATGCTCTGTGGAGAACTGAGCCAGAACACTACCGCGGCGCTGTCCTTTTCAGGTTCATCAAAGGATTCATCAATCGCAACAAACCCCTGTGTCCTGACAACGAGGAGTTTGTAGTGTTCGTGCGGAAGAATTACATCTTGAACCTCCGGCATCACATTCCAAAGAACGTCTTAGACAAGAGCTGGCTGAAGCCACCTGGCATCTTGGAAAATGTAAGGCCTAAATGTGGGACTCTGATGTTGCATGTGACAGAGAAACTGACAACTGTGCATTTTGAGTTTCTCCTGTGAGCAGGAGGGACAGAGTAAGGGGGGGAGCACCCCCAACAGGGTCCTGGTGCCGTGGTCCACTCCTACCTCAGCCAGCCCCAGAAAACAGATATGTGCATGCACCGTGTACTCAGGGAGGTCTCTGGACTCGAACCCAGAACCTTCCCATGTGTGTCAGCCTTGTGAAATGTAGCACATTCCATTTAGACGGAGCACTGTTGAGTGGTTTCCATCCTGGATGGAGCCTGCCAGAGAGCTCTAGTGACTGTCACCCAGAACAGCATTTCTCAGAAGATGGTCTGGGGACCTCGTGGACTGGAATGTAGAGTGAGGCGACTGTGAGAACTCCTGGGCTTCACCCCAGATCCACAGAGTTAAGATCTCGATGAGTCTTCTGATAGCCGGCTCCTCAAGTAACCCATAAACAGCTTGAGAACTGCTAGTTAGGCAATAATGAGAAGATTAATAATAAAACAAGATGAAAAGGCTAGCTACTCGGGGCCAGCAGGTGGCATAGTGGTTAAGGTGTTGGACTCCCACAAGGCTAACGGCAGTTCAAGTCTCAGACCTGGTGGCATGAAAATCATACCAGACGCGTGTGTGTGAATGCCCCCAATCCTAGAAGGAGACTGGAGAAGGGACTGTCTCTCCCTGTCACTCTCCAGAGAGCACATGTGCTCTATGGCAAACCATTTAAAAGGAAAAAAAAAAAAAAAAGGTTAGCTGCTTTCTTTGACTACAGCATATTTGTGGGCCAGCCCCACAGCCTAGTGATTACGGGGACCAGATCCCACATGGCAGATCTCGGTTTGAATCCTGGCCCCATGCCGGCACCTGTGCGTGCATGCCCCAAATCCTGACCACATGGAGAAACGGAGATGAGATTGAGCAGGTCCCACTGCGGGGAGGGGGCTCTCTGTCTCTAGTGAGCATATGCCTCACCCTCTGGCAGTTAAAAAAAAACGAATACTGTGTTTAAATCACCTTGAGTTCAACCGTGTTTTAAAAGTTCTGTTTGGGTCGCCCACGACAGGGGCAGGTGGGAAAGAAGTGTGTTCTCCATACAGGCATCGGACTTGCTCAGGAAAATGTGCATGAGGAACCTGGTGCGGAAGTACTGCCGAGGGATCACTCCACAGCGGAAGGCCATGGTAGGGACGTGGTGTCTGCAGGGTGGCAGGGAGGGAAGTGGGTGAGTGCTAGTCCTGCAGTTGGAATAGTCATGTCACAGTCCCTGTCCACACTAGCCATGTGCCCCGTGCCGTGTGGATGTACTGAGCATGAGTGCAGTGGCCCACTGAGCACAGAACCTTGAATGTCAGCTGTTAGTATCATCAGCATGGAATCCATCAGCGTGGAACTAGCAGGCCCCTGCACCGCACAGACAGGCCCTCTTCCTGCTGGAGCTGTTTAGTGCTTATCTGCAGGTCTGCAGGCCTTCTCTGTGAAGGGCTAGGGTATTTCTGATTTTGTGGACGATGTGATTGATCTCTGTCGCAGCTGCTCAACTCTTGTTGCCCTGGCCTCAAAGCTGCCATAGACAACATGTCAGTGAACGGCGTGGCTGTGTTCCAGTAAAACTTTGTTTATACAGACAGACAGCAGGCTGCATTCGGCCTGTGGGCTGTCATGAGCTGATCTCTAGTCTAAAAGAAAGGAACTTCTCCCTGAAGTTCTGACATCTCCACTTTCAGGGAGTACAAGTTAGGGGACTCAGAGAATGAACCCATCTCTACCTGTGTGAGTTTTAAGGCATTTTGGCCAAAGCCAAGAATATGTTGTGAGTTCTGTACAGAAGCATGACAAGGCTCCTGCAGCTTATCCTACAAAGGATGTGACACTGTGGATCCCAAACTTCTCTGTCCCACGGAGGGCCCCACAGCCACCATGTCCATCCCTTCTGTTATGTTACCAGATGCAGCAAAAAGTGGTTACAAGTGAAATATTCAGGGGGAAGAAAGAAGGCTACACGGAAAGTTTAAACCAGTCCTTTGCCAACAGTCGGATAGGTAAGTACATCTTCCCATCAAAGGCACTCGAGTTCCAGCCTCCGTAGCTGGAATCCTAGCGTCAAAGTCCCCCAAATTGTAAAAAGTCAAAGGAAGGTGCTCGACTCCATAGCACTTCCTGGGGGCTACTTCCCCAGCTGAACCCTCACTCACGAAGGGACAGAGAACCAGCCGGCAGATAAGTGACTGTCCCGCAGGGCTGGCATTTAGTGTTGATTCACAGTGTTCTGGTTCCTTCCTTAGATGAAGGAGACGTTAGTCCCAAAGTGCTCCAGCTAATCAGCAATGAAAACATCCAGGTAGGAAACATGTATCCTTAGCCCCAAACCAAATTCCTTCATGAAGTCCGAGAACGGGGTCTGTTTTCTCCCTCGGGGTGTCTGGAAGCGAGGTTGCAATCATGTCTTGGCCTTCTGGCTAAGCAACTGTGCTGCGCTGGGTGTTAACTAGAAACCAGCATGGTTTCTTCTTCTAAAAGAGTGAAACGCAGCCATGAACCCAGTCATTTAGCACCCCTGTATTAGTGAGGCTGTGTGGGCGTGTGTCCGGGTGCTGGCGCTGGCTTATCTGAGTAGCTGTGAGGTCCCGGGCAGGTTACTAAGCTCTCGGCACCTCTGTTCCGTGAATATGGATAAGGAGGTTACTGAGAGGCAGTGAGGCTGCCTAGGAAGCGAACTACTTTGCAGAGCCATGACGCAGAGAAGTCTGTCTCTGCAAAATCTGTTCGAGTCCCTCTGATGCCTGAGGTGACTTTACCAGAGCCAGAGTAGCAAGCAGCTCAGGATTCTGGATCCCCCGACCATGAAGTAACCCCCCTCATGGTGATGGTACGTCCTTGCAGTATGGTATCCCGGTCATTAAATATGACAGGAAAGGCTTCAAGGCGCGGCAGCGGCAACTCATTCTGACTCAGAAAGCAGCTTACGTGGTGGAACTTGCCAAAATCAAGCAGAAAATAGAGTACTCAGCACTCAAAGGTAAGAGTGGGCTAAGAGAGAGTTGATGGTCCCGGCTCGGGGGCGTGTAGCCATGACGGCCTCTGGCAGGAGACTCTGCACAGGCTGCCTGTAAACCCGGGCGGAGCCTCTGCACAGGCTGCCTGGAACCCTGGGCTGCCGGGACTGGCCTGTGCCTCACACTTGGGCATAAGTCTCAGTAGCTCCCACTGCACTGGCCTGGTTCTTTTTTTTTTTTAAGAATTATTTTATTTAACTGTATGTATGTATTTAAATTTGACCTGAGAAGGACAGAACATGAGAGAGAGTGAGAGAGAGAGAGAGAAAGTGAGAAAGTCAAGTTGTCAGGTCAGGGACTCAGACCACAGTTGACCATGTGGGAGTCTAGCACCCTTAACCACCACACCACCTGCTGGCCCCTTGACTCAGTTCACAGCCAGGCGCTGACTTCCAGGGTAGGCCTTCATCTCAACTGGGCCCAGCCCAAAGGGAAGGCCCTGGGTACAATTCCTATTTCTATATATATTTTTAAGAATTAACTTTTTTGGGACCAGCTAGTGGTGTGGTAGTTAAGGCACTGGACATTCCCACATGGCTGACCATGGTTGGAGTCCTGGACCTAGTGGCTTGCTTTCCCACCCCGCCCCGTCTCTCTCTCTCTCTTGGGTCAAATTAAATAAAATTAAAATAATTACTTTTTTATTTTTGGAGAGATTTTTGCTATAGGGCACATGTACTTGCCAGACAAAGAGAGACATTAGAGACAGAAAGCAAGAAATCACCCCCCAGGGGGGATGGTCATGCCGCAATCCCTTCTCCTCCATTCTCCTCTCAGGATCTTCGGCATGCATGCAAATGCGCCCGGCGTGAGTTTTAAGCCACCGGGTTCGGGACGTGAACCGCAGTCAACTACGTGGGAGTCCAGCGACATAGCCATTACGCTAACTGCTGGTTCCCCAAAATAATTACTTTTTAAAGTAAAAAAGAATTAACTTTATTATTGTTCTTTAATTTGCTATAGGACATGTGCACTTACCAGAGACAGAGAGAAAGCAAGTGGTCAGGCCTGGGACTCAAAACTGTGGTTGGCCATGTGGGAGTCCAGCCTCAAACACCCTGCTACCTCCTGGCCTCCCATTTCTATCATTTTAAAAACTACTTTCCTGGGCTAGACTGAGGTGTATATCATGCTGGGTAAAGTGTCTTTACAATCTAAATGAGCTATAGTGATTACATGTATAAATAATTAAAATTATTTTTAAAAAGTATTAAAAAAAGAAACTACTTTCATGTGAGAGAGCACCCAGCCCACCCAGTATCACAAGCACCTGTGTGCCGTGTTCAGGGAGGGCCCTGAATGTGAACCTGGCACCCTGCTTGGGTGGTTGCTCACCTGCATGGTGGTTAAGGGCACTGGACTCCCACATGGCCAACACAACTGGGCCTCTACATTTTTTTTTTTTTTTAATTTGAGAGCAAGCAAGAGTGAGAGGGAAAGTGAGAAAGCAAGACTCCAGGTTTAGGACTTGAACTGTGGTTGGCCATGTGGGAGTACAATGCCCTTAACCACTACACCACTGCCGGCCCCTGGCCCCTGCTTTTTGCATGCTTTTTCCATGTCAAGCTGTGTAGTTTCTGGCCCCTAACTATGGATCTGTCTTAAGGTGTCTCCACTAGTAATCTGGGTGATGGAATCTTGGTTATCCATGTTTCTCCAGAGGACAACAAGCAAAAGGTAATTGAGGACCCCCAGTCTCTGCTCAAGGAGAGATATGATCCACTGAGATACTGAGTTGACCACTGTGGAACCTGTGTTTGAATGTGTTTTTCTTTTACACTGCTGATACTCAAAGTGCTGTGTCTTCTCCTCCCCGCCTCAGGGGGACGCCATTTTACAGTGTGAACATGTGTTTGAAGCAATTACTAAGCTCGTTATGCTGGTTAAGAAGGAGAACATTGTAAATGTTGTTCAAGGGAGGTAGGTGGCTTTGTCTTCAGCTCAAGGTAATTTAATATTAAAATATTAGTAGGGCTAGCCCGTAGTGTAGTGTTAAGGAAGCTGGGTCCCACATGGCCGACTGCAGCTTGAAAAACATGCTGGGTGTGTGTATAGAGGCCCCAAATCCTGACAGGATGGAGAAATGAAGAAGGGATTACGGGGTGATCATGCCCTGCTGGGGGTACTTTCTCCCTTCTTGGGAGAGCACTTACCCAGGGGCAATTAAAAACAAAATGTTTATTATGAGATCAAGGAAGATGGAAAAGTCAGTCCTTTCCCCCATGCCTACTTGGCTCCCTGCAAAGCAAGCAAGCGCTATCTACCAGTCAGGGGAGGGTGAGAAGCCTCTGTTGGTGTACCCTTGCCCCTTTTGCTAAAGAACTTTCTTCCACCTTGACTCCTGTGATCTTGGGCTCCAAACAAGGGAACCTAGTGGTTATCTGCTGGCCTCAAGAAATGGCAGTATTCACATGTAGTTTTCTATGTGTTTGTTTATATTTATTAAATTTATCAGAGAGGAACAGGAAGAGAGAGAGAGAGAAAGTGAAAAAGCAAGCTGCCAGGTCTGGGACTCAAACTGTGATTGGCCATGTGGGAGTCCAGTGCCCTTAACCACCCATGCCACCTGCTGCCCCTCTCTCCCCCATGTAATTTTCAAAAGAGGTGCTTATATTCCTGTGAAAGGTGGAGCCTCTGGGCCAGAGCAGGTCACAGCCACACTTTGCTGTGCCTGCCTGTTGGGTCAGTTATTTGAGCACACTGGATGGATCAGGGAAAGTGCTAACATTTCTTAAGGAAGAAATACCTAGAAGAATACCTAGCACATAGACTATAATTTGTAATTGTCTCAACAACTCTGAAACAGGTGCTACCTTTTCTATTCCTCAGAAGAGGCAAGTGGAGTGCAAGGAGGTTAACTAGACGCTCAGAGCTGGCCAGTGTTGGGCTTGGACTCCTAAGGCCCACGTGAGGTGCTCATTCTCAGACTTAATCCAGGGCAGCAGCTTCAGCACTGTGTTCCCGGAGCCCGGGGAGCATGCTGCTGCTGGAGAGGGCTTTTCCCTCATACCTGTGCTGCTCCAGGTTTTAGACCGGATGAGCAGATCTGTAGGTAGGATAGGGAGAAAGGGCCACATACTTTGGAAAGTGCGGTTCTGTTTCGCTATACCAAGGAGTACCTAGCGCACTGTAAGAGCTTCAGTGTGAAGATGTGTAGGTGGTTCCTCAGACATCAGATAGGCCCTTTGAAGAACTGAGTGTGCGAAATGGATTAGAGAAAGATGTAAACTACCTAGCTAAAAGAATAGCCTTTTTCTGATTGAATTCCTGCTTTATTGCATAGTCGAGCAATCTTGAAACTAGGGAAGTTTTATAATTTTTTTATTTTAAGAATTATTTTATTTAAACTTATTTATTTTAATTTGACCAGAGAGAGACACAGTGAGAGAGAAAGTGAGAAAGTATGTTAATAACCCGTTACTTTGTGTTTTCTTAAGTTTACAGTTTTATATTAGTCCTGGGAAAGAAGGCACAATAGTTTTTGACACTGGACCGGAAGAACAAATCTATAAAGATAAGAATGGACAGTTAACGGTGGTGAGTGACTGTGTTTGGGGAGGGAGGGATGCAGTGTTAGATGAGAACACAGGTTTAAAATGCCTCACGTCACAGTCAGAAGCTAGTCCGTTTCTCCCTCTATTTCTGATTCCACATCTGTAAAACAATAAGGTATACTAGAGGTATAAGCACTGAATGAAAATGGGGAAAGGGTTTACCATATTCGTCAGTGAACCAGACATTGACAGGAAAAGGTTCTCCGTTTTAAATGTCAGAGTCTGCCTTTTCCATGAATGCTGGCAGCCTCGGACCTTTTACAAGTAGTTCTCAACTTGTGTCCACACCGGAATCTGCGTCCCCACTGCCCTGATCCAATGTTGCTGAGAAACGAGGTACTGAAAGCGGAGGGGGCTGAATCTTTAAGCACCTTGTGTACCTTGTATTTATACCGAGAACTATTTGATGATACAAACTAATTAGGCCTATGTATATGGAGTATTCCATACACACTAAAATTTACACCCACAAAAACCATTTTATAGGCCAATATATGTAAATACTGGGTTGTTTGGAAAGTCATGACACATTTTATAAAAACACAGAAAAATATGTTATGACTTTCCCGACAACTTAGTAGTACATGAGTGTCTTTTACTATTGTCCCTAAACATAACTCCTTCAGGGACAAGTTAACATATGGACTGTTTCTAATGTAAACCATCAGGTAACTTTTCAATTTCTTAAAACGTCTGCCTCTGGAAGTGAGTACCTCTCATTCAGACACACAGTCTGCCTTCCTCACTAACAGGCCAGTGAGCCAGTTTCTAAATCGGGATCGGCTCCTCGCAGCTCCCCCACAGCTCCCTTGAGGAGGTGATAACTGCTTCTGTCCTGGCTGTCTAACCCTAAGTGACTCTCCCCCAGGTGTCTGTCCGGAGGAAGTCCTGATAGAGGGTGCCGTCAGCCCTCTACCGTGACCGTTTCTGCTGCCGCTGAGAAAAGTACTGGGGAAGCAGGAATCTGATCCTGTTAGCTACCTCAAGGAAAGATTCCAGCAGCTCCCGGAAAAGGATCCCAACTGAAGAAACTGAGTGGTATGTTATACCAAAGCCTAACCCCAGCTCCTTGGTTGCCCTGTGGCCCTATATTAAGATGTCTTCTTCTGGGAACTGACCTCAAGTCACCTGAGGGCCTAGTTTTGAAGATCCCAAAGAGGATTTCCACTCAACAGGCATTTAGAGTGGGCGACACAGTCTCTACCTTTGTCAAGCTCCCCTAAGACACAATGGATTATTATATATGGTCTTGAGAGTAAGTAAATGAAGTTTCATGAAGCTGCAAAATTTGAATTTTCCTTTGAACAGATGGAACTTGGGCTCTTTGGGTCCCAGATGGTGAGCTGAGTCCCTTCCCACCCCTCAGTATTCATTTTACTTGTTCACAAGCCACAGCACTTCCGCCCAAATCTTCCTTTCATCTTTTCCTTCCGAGCAGCCGTCTCTGCTGTGACCTCTACCTCAGCTCAGGGGCTTAGCTGCTGGGCAGTGCTGAAAAGACCCAGAGGACAGACTGAAATAGAAGCATTACGTAACTTTTATTTTACATACGTCCACAATACTTGCACAACATACAGCGACTACTCAACAGCATTTTCTCATAGCGCAGAGACAGAAAGGTTGATGACACACTTAAATGTGCTCTGGTTACTCTGGGCGGAGCCCTACAGATAGCACACGCCGGAGAGGAAGGGCTGAGTGTCTTCACACTTGGGTCTTGAATGGCTGTTGTAAGGTTCACACACACCTAACACGCAGAGAAGAGGGGAGAGGCCTGGGGTTCAAGCACAGCCATCAGCAAGCTAACCCCCGACAGGAGGGTGATGAAAGAGGATAAGCCAGGAATTGTCTCGGGCACAGGCCTCCAGTCACCACAATCAGATGACTTACTAAAAAAAAAAAACAAAACCTGAACATGATCACAACAGACCCAAAGCTCTTGATTTTTTTAAACTGTAAGCTATTACACTGTAATAAAACCTTACTTTTTACCCCTTCTTAGGCCAGTGTTTTACTTGATTTGTTCTTAAATAGAAATATTGACTTTTAGAAAAATCAGTTTCTCCTAGAGTATGTTCCAGAACAAAGCTTGAAGGAGCCAATGCGGTCCGTCCACTCAGCTACGTACAGCCAACGGTGTCATCCGCCATGGAATGTGTTTCGAACCTGTCCGTGTCCCAGGGAGGCAAAGACTCAAAAGTTGGAGGAAAAGTGGAGGTAGAGAGAGCTGCCAGAAACGTTAGGTCATAAGGCATCGAAGCCAAAACGAATCAGATTGTTCCACACACTTATCTTCACACAGACATTGAAAACAGCACTTATACAATGGCTTTTCCATTCCTACAGAAAACATCAGAACTGACATTCACTTGAACTTTCTAAAAAAGTTCAACCCAGATGGCAGGGTTGGTCTTTAAAACTTCGAGTATAAAATAGGTAAGAAATGTTATTTTGTAAGCCCCCTTTCCTTAGCACTTAATAAAATCCAAATGGCCTGATATAAAAGTTTCCCGCACAACGGTTAAAAAGCATCTCTCCAGTACACGATTTGCAGGTTCAGACATGATTGTTTTAAACGTTCACTGTAGGATTTGCTGCTGGATACAAAATAAAGGCATACAACTGCCACAGGCAGGGCAGTCTGTACAAAGTCCAGGATGTAAAAACCACTTCAAAATATAAACTTGTTTATTTGGAATACATCGTGTCAAAGGCTACCCAAGTAATACCTTTGGTATAAAACGGTAACAATTCCCTTGACCGGGACGATTCCACCCACTGCCTGCCACGCTCGAGTTTCCTTCTAACTTCTCTACCTAGTCTAGTCTCAACCACCACATCAGTCACGACTCACCACTTCTCCCTCGCAGGCACCGCGGAGACCAGGAGGTAGGTAACCCAGATCGTCCATCCCACACGGGCACCGTGCAGACAGCCCGGCTCTGGCGTAGGCCGCCCGCACCCCACAGCACACATGCACAGCCACAGTCGCACACATCCCTTAAACAAACACGGACACAAACGGGACCCAAAGATATCGGCACGCCCTCCCGACCTGTTCACTGAGGGCCACTCTCCTGCATAGCAATCAAGAGCAAAGATGAGTGACAGCTGTGTTTACAGCGGGACACTCCCCGAGGGCTGCTGGCAGTCCTGCCTAGATGCTAGCCGGGAGGGCCGAGAGCCTAGGGCCACACTCGGTGTCTAAGCCAAGGGCAGGGCACCCGCTCGCTGCAGTGATCGCAGCTCAACAGGAAGGCCCAAGGCACGGACTGGGTCCCTTGCAGCGTGGTTTGAGCTACACCTGTAATTAGGACAGACAGCCTTCCAGGAACAGAGCAGGGTCCCCAAGAAGAACAATGGAAGGTGCAGGAGTCAGGGAGAGCTCTGCTCCTAGCCAGACACGACGTGCGGTCACAGCAAGCGCCAAACCAGAGAGCAGCCCAGGACAGCAAAAGGCTTTGCCCTTCCAGGCTCTGCACCAAAGCATGCTAGTAAGGACCTGGAGGCTCCTTTGATCACATTTCCACTGCTACAGGCTGCAACTGTTCATCAGCAAGTCCAGGCACACACAACCACGTTGCAGACGGCACTCTGGCAAAGCAGTGAAGGTCCTTGCTCAGTACAAAGGCACAGGAGCCAGTCTGCTAGGCTGGAGGGTTTACAACTGGGAGCTCACAGACGCCTCTGGTGGCCGCAAACTGCAGAAGCCCTTTTGGAACTGTCAAAATGAACCTTTAAGGGAGTGTCATCCAACTGCAAATAGGTAATCGATACCCACAAAAATAAATACTGCACAAACAAAATTCTAACGTCCACGTCACACTCATCCATACTTCTCCTCTGAGAACCTAGAAAGCCTGGCTTCCAGGTTCTTGGAGTCTCGTGAAAAGTAGAGACCTTAAACACAGCTTGTTCAGTGACGGCGGTGCATACACCTTGTCGAGAGACACCAAAATAATCTGCTTGTCATCGAAGGCGCTCCGGGGGGAGTGGAGGGTGCCGGGAGCCTGCACAGGATCTGAGTGCGGCAAGGGGGCGCGGAGCAGGGACGGGCAGGTGGGAGGCAGCTGGGCCGGCTTGCCTGCTCACTGGTGCAGGTGGCCCAGGTCATCGGGCCGCTTGATGTGGATCCGCCGCACACGCTCAATCCGCTCTCGCTCCCGCTCCTCATCCTCGTCTAGGTGGTGAGAACGCCCGGCAGCCCCGCCTGTGGCTTCCAGGAGTGCATTGTCAGGTCCTCGGCCATCTTGGGCCTCATACAGCAAAATATTGAGGGTCTCTTCATAAATTCGGGCCTCAGGGAACTCCACCTGTATCCCCAAAAACAGAGCAGGTAAGTTAGCACAGCAGACACTCCACCCAGGTACACTTCCATCTGGCTGTACTTCTGAGCAGGACCAGCCTTTGGTCCCACTGAAGACTGTCATTATTACTTTCAAGTTGGTTCTTTTCTTTTTTTTAAAAGAAGAATTATTTAATTTTATTTATCCATTCATTTATTTTAATTTGACCAGAGAGAGACACAGAAAGAGAGAGAGGGAAAGTAAGAAAGCAAGCCACCAGGTCTGGGACTCGAACCATGCTTGGCCATGTGGGCATGTCCAGGGCCTTAACCACCACACTGCCTGCTAGTCCCCGGGTTGATTATTTTCAATAGTCAATGCCACTTGTGGTGCTAATTCATGAGACCAAGGGGACCTGTGAAGGCGCTCCTTACCCTCCCCAGCCCAGTTTCCATTCCCAAAGCCAACACTTCTCACTGTACTGAGTCTGCACATGTAGATATGTGCACATATACATGTATGTTCACACTAAAAACACAGGTGGCCACCTCCCAGACTGTTAACCTAGAGATCACGCCACATCAGGAAATTATTAAAAAAAAAAATCCAAAGAACAATGCAATGATCTAGTTTACTCTGACGGACATTTAGCTCCTTTCCAGTGCTCTGCCACTAACAGAGCTCTAATCTCACAAGTTCTTCTGCAACTGAAAGCTGCTGCTTTTGGGGCAAGAACTGGATGGGCAGTGGCATGAAATGGACACGATCCCTCCTGCTTGGTAAAGGCTTGTGTGTTTGCCTGTTGCCCTTCAAGGTCAAGGTGCTGTGAGCAGAAGGAAGGCCACACAAGTGGGTCTCAGACAGTGACTCACAGACTAGACTTTGCACTAGCAGGTCAGATTCTGAGGTTTTCACTGCAGAGAAATGCAGTAAGCATGCTCCACCCTGTCTTCCTCCGTGAAGCCACAGCCAGGAGAAGACAGCCACCACAGAACACAGACTGTTAAGGAGCAGTGGCAGGCAGGATGTGGAAAAGATGAGAATGTGGAGGAATGCACCAGCACCAGGGTTACCGTTTCCCCCCTGCCCACAGTGCAGCCAGAGGTCCCAAAATGGGCAAAGACAGCTCCGGAAGGTCTCCAGCAGCCGGAAGGAGCCTACGGAGCAAGCAGGCAGAGAGCTGAGCAAACTCCCATTCCTCTTCCCTCTGGTTTCTGTGTCCTAGCCCTAAGCAATCTCGCAGCAGCAGGGAACGTGGCAGCAACCAGTGACAGCAGGAGTCAGAATCCCAGGGCGGGGCGGAGCTGCCTTCCTGATAAGAACTGTGGCTGGCCCAGGGCGGCTGCCACAGGGCAGGGTCAACCCCTGCTGCTTTTTCTCTCGCTTCAGGCTTCCTGGCCCCAGATCTATGCAGGAGAGGTCTCCAGAAAGGTCACAGAAAATGTGTATTATGAAAAAACTATGCATGGATTTCAAAATTTTAGCACCAACATATCTTTAAATTTCATGTTCTGCAACCTTTCTGAAGTCTCTTCAGCACAGTTACAGGAAGTAGGTGGCAGAGCTGGGTAACTAATGCTCCAGCTTATTGGCAGATGACCAGAAAAGGGGAGCTTCGGGGAAGCTTAAGTCCTCAGGGGCTTGAGAAAATAGCCTCTACGGCTGTGCACAAGTTTCCCCTCTGCAAAGGCCACCCTGAACAGCACACACAGACTGCAAGGACTGAAGGATGGGATGACACTGCCCAGGACAGACTGGCTGCAGCGTGACACACAGGTGGGACAGAGCTGAAGTCTTTCAAAACTGAACTGTCACCCACAGAACCACAGCCCATAGAAGGCTGTTGAGAGCTTGCGACCTGAACCCAGAAGGGTCAACTCCCTGCTGAAACAGAAACACCAACCCTTCCCCTAGGAATTAAGCAAGACCTAGACAGAAGATGCAAAATGTCCAGGATGCAATCCAACGTTTCTTGGCACATGAAGAACCGGGAAGACCTCCCCTCCTGTGGGGAAAGCTAACCAACAGACGTCAGGACCAGGATGACACGAGGTGTTGAAATGACCCAACAAACACCTAAAAGCAACTGCACATAAAAGCCCCAGCAAGCAAAGGTGAATGTTCCTGGAGCAAATGGAAGCAAAGGCGGTCTTAGCAAGGAGACAGACGACGGGAGGGACAGCAACACAGGAATTTTAGAAAAGTACAGTCTTACCAAAATAGACAAAAAGCCCAACTCACTGGAAAGGCTCAATAACAAAATGGAGATGACAGAGAAAAGAATGAACAGAAATGACGGGATCTGTGCAACAGAAAGAAAACACCATCAGCCGAAATCTATGCTCAGTTATCACCCAGTGCTCAGTGACTTCGAATTAAGAACTGAATTGATAATGTATTATGTATCAGACACCTGCTAAATTTGATTTCAGCAAGCCTCACCCTTTACAAAGAAAACAGTTAAAGGATGATTAAAAGAATTAGTCAAGCACTTGGAACCTTGTACCAAGGAAGGTAAGATCCCAATTAGGCAAAAAAAAAAAAAATCCAAATGGAACATCTGCAGTTACTGATTCAACAGAACGCGCCAGTCCCAAACCACAGCTCCCAGAGATCTGGGCTAGATGAAGGAGAAACCTGTTCCCAGAGGGTCAGCCTTCCCTGACACCCGCTCCCAGCAAAGCCAAAGTCACATGCTTCCCCGGAGGACGGAGCAGTGGGAATAGGCTCAGGGTAAAAAGCCATGGTGGGAACAGCAGTTGGCGTAATGGCTATGTCGCTGGACTCCCATGTAATCAACTGTGGTTCGAGTCCTGGGGCCGGCAGTTTAAGCTCAAGCTGGGTGCATGTGCATGCATGCCCAAGATCCTGAGAGGAGAATGGAGAAGGGATTGCAACATGGCCATTCCCCCCTGGGGAGTGATTTCTCACTTTCTGGCTCTCTTTCTGGCGAGTGAACACACCCTATAGCAAAAACCTCTCCCACCCCAAAAAAAAGCCATGGAGAAGGGCCCTTCTCCCAACCCTGGCTCTGCCACTAGCCAGCCTCACAAACAGGATCACTCCAGAACCAGTCTGCTAACCCAGAGCTGGATTAGACCACGTGCCCTTAAATCCCCTTGCTTCCTATTAAGCTCTAAAAATGTGAAGTCTTACTATTTTGAAGCTTAATCAATTCGATGATTATCCTTTTAATACCCAAAGGCAGAGGCGACCCAGGTATGTAAGAAAACCAAACCATGACAAAACAGGGATCTAGTTACAGAAAGAAATCATAGCCCTAAGGAAAGATAAGTTCACAGGAGAAAAGAGGTAACATGACCTTGCTAAGGTGGAAGAGTGCAGAGGGGTGATTCTGGTCCCTGCTATCTTTGGACGGGAAAAGAACCTCAGTTTCATTCCCTCTTTGACTACCTTAAAAACAGTGTTCCTTTAGGATACAGTCCTGCGTTGCATAACCACGTTTCAATGACAGACAATAATGGAGCTGAAAACGACCTATGGCACAGTGACGTCATAGCTGTTGTAATGTCAAAATGCAACGCGTTACTCACATGTCTGCAGTGATGGTGCTGTGAAAAACCCATCCTGCCAGTTGTATAAAAGTATAGTACATGTGATTATGTACAGTACGTAACACTTTTTTATTTAAATTGGCAGGAGGAGGGACAGATAGCAAGTGATATGGTGGTTAACATGCTAGACTCCCACATTGCCGACTGAGGTCCAAGTCCCAGACCCAGCGGCTTGAAAATCACACGAGGCATGTGTGTGTGTGTGCCCAGAATCCCAGGAGGAGAACAGAGGCAAAAGGACTGTAGTGTGGCCATCCTCACTTTCCCTCTCACTGTCTGTTTCTTGCTAACAAGTACAGGCACCCTATAGCAAAACTCTTAAAAATAACATAAAATGAAAATAAATTGCGGGAGAGCACATACACTCACCAAAGAGACAGAAAAAGAGAGAGATTAAGCTCCCAATGGGGCGTGGTCATGCACAATTCTTTCTCTATTTCTCCATCCTGTCGGGTTTGGGGGCTGCACAGACACATGCCTGACATTGTTTTTCCAGCTGCTGTGTCCAGGATTCAGATCACTTGCTTGGCCATGTGGGATCCAACTCCCTTAACCACAAGGCAATGGGGCCATCCCCACAGTACTTGATAATAAACTATGTTGCTAATTCACGTATTTACCATACTATGCTTTTGATTAGAGTACATTCCTTTTGCTTATAAAAACTGTGCTGTAAATCAGCATGCTGTTACGCTGGGAGCAGCCCCAACATTCTGCTTACTGCCTCTCCCTTTTACTGGCGTATGCACAATGGGTGTATGCACTTGCTAGAGTGGGGAAAAAGAGAGAGCGAGAAAGCACCAGGACATGGCTATGCCACGATCCTTTTTCCTCCACTTCTCCATCCCAGCGGCATCTGGGCACACATGCACATGCACCCAGGTAGAACTCGAATGGTGGTCAGCCACATGGGATCAGCTTTCTGTGCACACCACTTAACTGGTGCACTACAGGGCCAGCCCCACTGCATCTTGACTGCCTCATTTTCTCTTAAGCATGACTTAATTTTGTGTTGTTTTATTCATCCTGGGGCTTCAAGTGGAGCAAGACATGAAGGTTGAAGACAGTGATATTGATGATCCTGATCTTGTATAGGCCTAGGGTGCGTGTGTGTGTGTGTGTCTGTGTGTAGTGTCTTATTTTTGCTATTGGGCACGTGCACTCACCAGAGGGAGGCAGAGAGTGGGAAAGTGAGAAATTACCTCCCAGCAGGGATGGCCACACTGCAACGTAACACTTTTTTATTTAAATTGGCAGGGGGAGGGACAGATAGCAAGTGATATGGTGGTTAACATGCTAGACTCCCACATTGCCGACTGAGGTCCAAGTCCCAGACCCAGCGGCTTGAAAATCACACGAGGCATGTGTGTGTGTGTGCCCAGAATCCCAGGAGGAGAACAGAGGCAAAAGGACTGTAGTGTGGCCATCCTCACTTTCCCTCTCACTGTCTGTTTCTTGCTAACAAGTACAGGCACCCTATAGCAAAACTCTTAAAAATAACATAAAATGAAAATAAATTGCGGGAGAGCACATACACTCACCAAAGAGACAGAAAAAGAGAGAGATTAAGCTCCCAATGGGGCGTGGTCATGCACAATTCTTTCTCTATTTCTCCATCCTGTCGGGTTTGGGGGCTGCACAGACACATGCCTGACATTGTTTTTCCAGCTGCTGTGTCCAGGATTCAGATCACTTGCTTGGCCATGTGGGATCCAACTCCCTTAACCACAAGGCAATGGGGCCATCCCCACAGTACTTGATAATAAACTATGTTGCTAATTCACGTATTTACCATACTATGCTTTTGATTAGAGTACATTCCTTTTGCTTATAAAAACTGTGCTGTAAATCAGCATGCTGTTACGCTGGGAGCAGCCCCAACATTCTGCTTACTGCCTCTCCCTTTTACTGGCGTATGCACAATGGGTGTATGCACTTGCTAGAGTGGGGAAAAAGAGAGAGCGAGAAAGCACCAGGACATGGCTATGCCACGATCCTTTTTCCTCCACTTCTCCATCCCAGCGGCATCTGGGCACACATGCACATGCACCCAGGTAGAACTCGAATGGTGGTCAGCCACATGGGATCAGCTTTCTGTGCACACCACTTAACTGGTGCACTACAGGGCCAGCCCCACTGCATCTTGACTGCCTCATTTTCTCTTAAGCATGACTTAATTTTGTGTTGTTTTATTCATCCTGGGGCTTCAAGTGGAGCAAGACATGAAGGTTGAAGACAGTGATATTGATGATCCTGATCTTGTATAGGCCTAGGGTGCGTGTGTGTGTGTGTGTCTGTGTGTAGTGTCTTATTTTTGCTATTGGGCACGTGCACTCACCAGAGGGAGGCAGAGAGTGGGAAAGTGAGAAATTACCTCCCAGCAGGGATGGCCACACTGCAATCCCATCTCCTCCATTCTCATCTTGGGATCTTTGGCATGCATACACACACACCTGGCTGCTGGGTCTAGGACTCAAACCATATAGTTGACCATGTGAGATCTAGCACCTTAACTACCATGCCACCTGCTGGCTCCTATCTTGTTTCTATTCTTTTTTTAAAAAGTGTGAAAAGAAATGAGCTGAGCTAGTGGTTAAGGGAGTCCTGATCTCACACAGCCAACTGTGGTTTGAAACTCAGTCCTGGTTTTAAAAAACATGCTGCTGCTGGGCCCATGGGTGTGCATGCTCCAAATCCCACGAGGATGGAGAAATGGAAAAGGGACTGCGGGTGACCATACTCCGCAGTGAGGGGGTGCTTCTTCCCTTTCCCACTCTGGAGAGTATGCTCATACTCTGGCAATTAAAAAATAACAACAATACATATTTTTAAATAGAAAAAACTTAAAGATGTTCTCACAATGTCAAAATCACCTAATGCCAGATTCCCCCGAGTGCGTTCCTGACAATTTGCTGTGTGACTGCATTATGAATAAAATACGCTGTCCACTTAATGCTGTATGTGTAGACCCAAAGTGAGCAAGAGTGACCCCAAGTGGCTGCTGAAGCTGGGTGGTGAGTACACGGGCATCACTGTGCTAGTCTACTTCTGCAACTGAATGAAATTTGCAAGAGCAAGTTAAACAAGGCTCTGGTTTCTACTTGGTGGTCTGATTTTCTCCCATTTGCTTTTTGCTTGAGGCCAGCTCCAGGGCTGTGCGGAACTGTACGCCTACTACTGCTGCAGGCACAGTGCCAGCCAGGACACATGCTCTACCGACTGTCCAGGGGTGACTCTAGGTACGACTACTCGCCAGACCTACTGCATGGTGCTGGCAGTTGAGTTTCCTTAGAAAGGCTGGGAGAGAAGTGACAGCGAAGTGACAGTGTGTAGAATATGACTGGGAGGTAAAAATAAAAAGATGGCCCAGCTGCGGTGGTACACGGGCAGTGTCACTGCTTGGGAGGCCGGAAGCTACAGGAAGGCCAACCCGAAGGCGCTGGCTACAGTTGGGATGCCCATCATCCTGCCTAACTGGGATTCTGGGGCAGGAGGATCACGACACAGCAAGATCTTGTCAAAAATGCCTATCTTGGGACCAGCAGTTAGCGTGATGGCTATGTCGCTGGACTCTCATGTGGTCGACCACGGTTTGAGTCCCGGACCCGGTGGCTTAAACTCACGCTGGGCGCATGTGCGTGCATGCCCAAGATCCCGAGAGGAGAATGGAGAATGGAGAAGGGATTGCGGCGTGGCCATCCCCCCTGGGGGATGATTTCTCACTCTGTCTCTCTCTGTCTGGCAGGTGAGCGCACACACCCTATAGCAAAAAACTCTCCAAAAAAAAAAAAAAATGCCTACCTCTGTTTCTCTCCCATTCCTCCTCTCTACCCCTCTCATAAAAGGAAAAAAGAGAATCCCCAGAGGCTGGTTCAGTCAGGGTGCCAAGCGTGCTCGGAAAGAAGCCAAGGCGGCAGGGAGGTAAGGAATGCTGCAGGCCCTGGGAGGGCCTCTCAGTGGGTAAAGGGAGACAGGCGGCAAGGGCGTAGCGAGGCGCGACTCAATGCCAAGGTCAGGATCTCGAAGGCAGCACGGTTTCTCTGATGAGCAAGACTGGACAGGCCACTCAGGAGAGGAAAGTGGTCGCATGGAGGTGGGAGAGGAACAACCAGTGTCACAGAGATCACGGACATCAGGAGAGGATGCTGGCAGAGCGGCACACACGGTGTAAGGAGGACTCTGAACCCATATTCATGGCAAAGGAACTTGGGTATACTGTGGCTGTTTCTACCTGCTGATCATCAGAGGAAAATCCACGCTGCTTCTCCAAGACCTACCGGTAGATCTTTCCAGGGCCCAAAGGATAAGGATTATTTTGACAAGTAGCCAGGTGTCAAGGAGAGCACTTGAGAATCCTTTCCCCCATAAGTGTATATTTTTTGCTGGGAGGGAGAGATTTTTGCTATAGGATGCGTGTGCTCAACGGAGAGACAGAGAGAAAGCTGCAATTCCATCTCCTCCACTCTCCTCTTGGGATTTTGGGCATGCATGCACACGTGCCCAGTGTGAGTTTCAGACCCCCAGGTCTGGGATTTGAACCGCGGTCAGCCATGTGGGAGTGCAGCAACGTGACCACTGCCCAATCTGCTGGCCCCATGGAGTGCATTCGTTGGAGTGGAGAGAGACTGTACCGGTATGGGGGTTTTGGCACTGTCCTCTCCGACCCTTACCTTGGTCTGCTTCTTCTCAGTGGCATAGACGATGGACGTACAGCAGACCTCGGCAATCTTGCGGCCCTGACCGTAAAAGGACCAGCAGCAGATTTCGTCCCCAATGACATCCTTTATGAAGAGGACCCTTCCATTAAAGCGCAGAGACAGCTTATCAAACAGTTCTATGTTTTTCAACATGTTGTCGTCGGAATTGCTGCAAAAGAGCATTTGATAAGGTGACCACAAGCTGGCAACCGCGGCCACTGTGTGTTGAGCACTTCTGCCCACTGGACCCCCCGGGTCCGTTTTCTCCACCATCTCACTTTAACCTCGCAATAATCCCACGAGGAAGGCACCACCGTCCCAACTGCTCAAAGAAACAAACTGAGGGCCAAAGACCCAAGGCCTCATACTTCTAAATGGCAGAGCCAGGCCTCGAAAGCCAGCTCCGGCCCCTAAATGCATTCCCCTAATCAGCACGCTCAAGCGCCTGATCCACGAGAGCCTTAAAGAGGTGCTGCTGGGAAGGCAGGGCCTAGGGGTTCTAGACACAGGCACCCGGTGCAGGAGAGCGTCCCACCGAGCCACAGAGCAGCAGCTCGGCCCAAGCAGACTTTCCATCCTGGGCCAGTCTGCGGGTTTTGAGTCACCTCATTCCCCTTCCCCCCTGCCACCCTATCCCAGAAGTTCCTGATCTGGAGCTGCTGTTCCCAAGAGCCAAAAGGCATTCCACAGGTCAGAATTTATTGCTGGTAAGAATGTAAGAAGTACAGTACTCTGGGAAACAGTCTAGCAGTCTTTCAAATGATTCAACACAGAGCCACCACATGACCCAGCAATTCCACTTCTAGGCACCTCCCCTAGAGAAATGGAAACATGAGCGCATCTACACTCACACGTGAATGTTCACAGCAGACCAAAAAGTGGAAAAAACTCCATTGTCCAAACGATGGGGAGAAACACGATGTGGTATATCCATACAATGAAATATTATTATAAAATCAATGCCATATTGATTTTTTTCTTTCTTTTTTTTTTTTTTTTGGGGGGTGAGGTTTTGCTATAGGGTGTGTACGCTTGCCAAAAAGACAAAGAGAAAGTTAAAATCACCACCCGGGGAGATGGCCATGCCATAATCCCTTCTTCTCCATTCTCCTCTCAGGATCTTGGGCATGCATGCACATGCGCCCAGCGTGAGTTTAAGCTACCGGGTCCGGGACTTGAACCACGGTCGACTACATGGGAGTCCAGTGATATAGCCATCACGCCATCAATGCTGGTCCCAATGCCATATTGATTTGTGCTATAATATAAATCAATTATGCTAAATGGAGAAATCCCACAGAAAAGGTAACATTATATAATTTCAATCACACGAAATGCCTAAAACAGTCAAATCTATAGACAGGAAGTCGATTATGGTGGCCTAGGGCTTGGGCCAGGAGGCCTGGCTGGGAGAACTGGGGAGTGGCTGTTAACTGGCAGAGCGTTTCTTTCTGGGTGATAAAAACGCTCAATAATTAGTGTTGATGGTTGCACAACTCTGCTAGCAACCACTGACGTGCAGTTAGACTGTGACTGTGGTGATCTATGTGAATTAGATCTCAAAGCTCTAACGACCCATCTGCCTTGAGAGTTCTAGTGATGCAGAGGGCTCACCCACTGTCCGGTCCTGCAGGGGACAAGAGGAGCCGGGCCTGGCCGGCGGGAGGGGACATCTCCCCAGCACACGCGGTGACTGTTCTGGCTGCCGCCTTACCTGGTGTATGAGTACTTGTTGTTACTTCTGTTGTACAACAACTTCACGGCCGGCTGCAGTGTTTCAAAGAAGAAAGAAGAGGGTTATTTGGCATGGAGACACAACAAACCACCAGCGTCCCTAGGCTGGGGCCCTGCCATGAGGCCAGAAGAGACCTCATGGCTTGTGGCTAGCTGGGAGAGACTGCATGACCCAGTAGCAGGGGGACAAGAGAGGAGCTGTTGCTCCCCATTCTTAACCCCTTAGCAGGTCTTGCTTGGCCATGCACACATCACTTCGAAACTCATCCAGGAGAACTTGCATCATCGCTAACAGCAAGAGAAATCCCACGGGGTGCCTCTGACGTACCTTATTAGAAGTCGCTATAAGTTTTTGTTCTTCCTTGGAGGAGGTGATGACGGGAACCTTGCAGAAGGGTTCATAAGTATCTTTGTTCTGCTGGAACAAAACATGCTTTCAGCCTAGAAGGCCTGCCCTGCACTGAGTTTTCTGAAACTGGTCTGCCGGGAAAAGACGGGCCCCGGCGGGGGGACGAGGTGGTCAGGCTGAGAGGAGGGTTCTCACCACCGATGAATTGGGAGGCGGAGGGCTAGGCGATGAGCGTTCCCGTAAGCCTCACACACCAGAGTGCTCGGTAAATACTGACCCGGGCGACAAGCTCCACCGCTCAGGAGGTCGCTCAAAAGTAAACTGTCGTCACTGCCAGCCAGTGACACAGTGGTCAAGAAGGCTGGATTCCACATGGCTGACTGTGCAGTTCCGAGTCCCAAACCTGGCAGCTTGTAAAGCACACCAGGAGGACGCGCGTGCATTCTATCCTCTTGAGAGGAAGATGGAAAAATAAACCCTGTGGCAGCTGAAATATGATTTAAAGGCTGCCACCACCCTGCTGTGCCTGGGAGGGAATAAAAGGTAAAAGCCCAGAAAAAGAATGAGAGAACTGAAGTCACCAGACAAAAGATGCCCGACATTCGGGCTGGAAAGCAGATCACGGATACGTGATAACCAAACTGGTGAGAAAGCTGAGCCCGAAGTCGGCAGACAGGAAGGGATCCCGCAGATCCCTCAGCATTCAGCTCTGACAGTGGGCGCGTGGCAAGAGCCGAGGAAGGCTCGCCTGTCGACAGAACACGGGTCAGACCTGCAGAGTCGTGCCCGCCCCCGCCGTGGCAGAAGAATGGCTCACTTTTCTGGGTGGCTTGCACAAGAAGGGGCTGAGCTGCTACCCTGAAATGGAGGGAAGTGGGGTCTACACACGGAAGGGCGCCCCCCTGCATGACCTCAGAAGGCAGCCAGGCTTATGCCCACCCAGCAGGAGAGCGGGGCTTTCTCTACAGGAAATGATTTGCCCCCAAAAACACTTACAGCAGACCCCAAGTGGGAAAGTCAGCCTCACCACCTGACAACAGAGCCCCGGACACCAAGGGCCAGTCACACACTCAGCTTTTCAGAGCCCTACTTTCTCAGGAGACAGTCAGGGGTCATGAGGTTGCAAGTGGAAGGCCTCACCAACACGAGACCTAAGCCAAACCGAGAAAAAGGGAAGGAACCAGACAGCGAAGGGAGCAGAAAGAAAGCTTTCACAGGTATCATCAGACAGGCGCAGAGACGGCCCCCTCGGAAGTAAGATAGCGTGCTCTGGGCCATAGGGCATTCAGACGAAAGGCTCCTGGAATCAGAAATGCGATGGTAGAAACGAAAAAATGGGTAGATAAAACAGACAAGAACAAAAGGAACGTCTGAGAAAGTAGGATGCAAAAGTGGAGCAAAGACATCTGTAAGGACCAGCGTGGCCAGTACAGAGGAGGCGCTGAATAAACTGGAGGAGAAAGAGAGCCCCAATGCGGCTAAGGAGGGCTGTCTGTGGAGACGACGCTGCGCTCCGACAAGACTCATGGGGAAGAAGTCCTGAGATGGGTCCAGTAGAAAGTCAAGTTTGACACCTGGCGGTTCACGTGCACAGGAGGCCCTGACACTGGAGGGACCGCAGTACGTTGGAGAGCGATCAGGGACTTGAGCATGACCTGGAAACCTCTCAGGGCGCTCTGACCTAGGGGAGAGGCTCCAGGTTAGCCCAGTAACCCACACCTCAGCGACATAGCAACTGCCCCCTTTTGCAGAAAGGGAAGATGAGGAAGGCCGGTGGGTTGGGTGCCTCCCTGCCCATATGGAAAGAAAAGGTGATGCCTACTTGCAGGGCCGCCTGGCACTCTTCCACCAGGCCCTGGACCAGGTAGTACTTGGCTTCTGCCAGCAGCTCCTCGATCTCCCGGCGGCTCTCAGGCAAGGGGACTGCCCCGTCTCGAAGGTAGTTAAGGATCGTACCAAAGTGCTTCCCGCACCGGTCAATGAGGATCCAGCCTGCGGTGAAAGGAGGAAGGGGCTGGTTATGTGGGCACTCCTCTAGCGGGGGACCCTGCGAAAGTGCTGGGAGTCTCTCGGCCCCCTCCAGCTCCCAGAGAGGCCGGACCACCTGTCTGCAGCAAAGGACTGACTAGGCCTTGCCCAGGCAGCACTGCCAGAGCTTCTGGGTCCTCCTGGTAGGACAGACTTCCCCAGACTGCTAAGATCTCAGGCTCTGCTGGACACCCTGAGGCCTGAAAGCGTGTCTCTAAGATACCCTCAAATCTCTCTTAGGCAACCACATCCCAGGAGGGCCTAGTGCATCACACCTGGACAAAACAGGTCCACAGGATCACATCCCAGCCACAGGGGAAAGCCCTCTGGGGTAAAAAATGCCCACTTCCCTTTTCTACTACGCTTTGTTCGCTTTTGTTCAGACTCAAATAACAAGGCTGTTTCTCAGGAAACACACGCCTTAGCCCAGCAGAATGCGACCTCTGGCTCCCGAGGACGACCCCAAACACACAGCATCGCCACAGGAAGCCCTACCCCACAGCTTCCTGCAGTGAACACGTAGTACAAGCGACGGCAACTGAAGGTGAGATGGTGAACGGGACACACCGGCCCTGGGCTCAGCCAGCACGGGGAGATGGAGTGCACTTTACTGGGTACGAGAAAAGGTCCCACCGCCAACCCAGTTCAGGCACAGCAGAAATCCTTGGGGAGGGCGCCAGGAAGCCCACTCCCTCTGCCTCTCAGTGTCCCTTCTCCCTTCTCATTGGCTGAGATCCCGCCATTTGAGATCCTAAGGATTTTCAAAACTCCTCTACTGAGGTGCAAGTGTCCCTGGAAGTGGCATTCGGAGCAGGAGACAGGATTGGGCAGGGGAAGAAAAGAAGGTACCGAAAAGGAGGGAGGAGTAGAGCAAAGACCGGCAGTCTCTACAGAAAACGTGAAGCACTAAAAAGAAGCCAGACTCAGTGGTGAGGCCCCAGCTTCCCAACCAGCAGGGCAGCCTCGGGGCTCAGGCTTCGCCAGGTCTCCTGCCCACCTTACAGGTGAGAAGACGTAACGCATGACGCACTCGGGAAGCTGAGATGGGAATTGGCGATTTTATCTTTTACTTTTGTGGCCCCACTTTCCTTTCCCTTTGCCCCCAGTTTGGGAGAAGTGGTCAATATTTCTACTCCAAACGCCACGGAGCCCTGCCCATGTCCCCCTCAGACCCTGGCCCTGGTCACTGGCAGAGGCCAAAAGAAGTCCACAGCAGCCAATGCCTTTGGCATATGCGAGAGTTACAGATGCCCCCCACATCCCTCTACCCCTTGCCTGCAAACCCAGCCCTGGCCAGTGCCCTCCTGTGCACTCGTGCCCAATTTGGTATTCTTTGCAACAAACGCCAGGAGAGTTTGATAACGAGGCCATTTCCATGGTCCCCTCCTGAAACTAGTCAGCCTAAAGGTCCTGAGCCTTTTGTTGGAGGGCTGCTCTCCACCCTCCAGAGCCTTCCACTTCTTACCCGGGTCACTCTGGTTTCCGAGTGCAGCGCGAAGAACCAGCCCAATCAAGGGCAAACACAGGCCAGCGTGCATTGCGCATTGGAGTCAAACCCCTGTTTGGGGAAGGGGTAAATTACATCACTTTGACAGTGACTTCCAGATGTTATCCCACCTGCTTCTTTCTACATTTGAGATGACAAAATACGGACTTAATAGCTTATAGGGGACCAGCAGATAGCAGATAGCATAATGGTTACGTTGCTGAATTCCCATGTAGTTGATCGTGGTTCAAGTCCTGGACACAGAGGCTTAAAACTCATGCTGGGTGTGTGTGCGTGTGTGCTGGCGATTTTATCTTTTACTTTTGTGGCCCCACTTTCCTTTCCCTTTGCCCCCAGTTTGGGAGAAGTGGTCAATATTTCTACTCCAAACGCCACGGAGCCCTGCCCATGTCCCCCTCAGACCCTGGCCCTGGTCACTGGCAGAGGCCAAAAGAAGTCCACAGCAGCCAATGCCTTTGGCATATGCGAGAGTTACAGATGCCCCCCACATCCCTCTACCCCTTGCCTGCAAACCCAGCCCTGGCCAGTGCCCTCCTGTGCACTCGTGCCCAATTTGGTATTCTTTGCAACAAACGCCAGGAGAGTTTGATAACGAGGCCATTTCCATGGTCCCCTCCTGAAACTAGTCAGCCTAAAGGTCCTGAGCCTTTTGTTGGAGGGCTGCTCTCCACCCTCCAGAGCCTTCCACTTCTTACCCGGGTCACTCTGGTTTCCGAGTGCAGCGCGAAGAACCAGCCCAATCAAGGGCAAACACAGGCCAGCGTGCATTGCGCATTGGAGTCAAACCCCTGTTTGGGGAAGGGGTAAATTACATCACTTTGACAGTGACTTCCAGATGTTATCCCACCTGCTTCTTTCTACATTTGAGATGACAAAATACGGACTTAATAGCTTATAGGGGACCAGCAGATAGCAGATAGCATAATGGTTACGTTGCTGAATTCCCATGTAGTTGATCGTGGTTCAAGTCCTGGACACAGAGGCTTAAAACTCATGCTGGGTGTGTGTGCGTGTGTGCCCAAGATGCTGAGAGAATGGAAGAGAAGGGAATGTAACATGGCCATCCCCCCCCTCCGGGGGGTGATTTCTTGCTTTCTGTCTCTCTGTCTCTGTTTCTCTGGTGAGCACACATGCCCTATAGCAAAAATCTCTTTAAAAAAAAAAAAAAAAGGCTTACAGAACTGAGATGCGTACGGGGCCAGCAGGTAGCATAAATGAGCACAGATGGCCAGGTCTATGGCCATGGCTGAGAAGACCATGTAACCCGCCCCCTGCGGGGCCTGCCCTCTTCCTACTCCAGCCTCAAGTGGCCAGGCACGAATGTGGGTCCAGGGCTATGTGAGCTTAGATGTTCCAAGCGGTGGCAAAAAAAATATTTTTCTGTGAATTCCTGTTGTATAATTATTATCTTTATTATTACTATTCAGGATAGAGACCCTACATGCCTAAGAGAGAGAGAGAGACAAGGAACACCCTCAATGGGGCTTGATCACACTGCAGTCCCCGTTCTCCAGGATCCTGGACACATGTGTGTGCGCCTGGCACATTTTCAGGCTGACAGATTAGGAACCCGAACCACAGTCAGCACGAGGTTTCCAGTTCCACAATCTGGTAGCTACCAGCTGTGACACAGGGGCTAGGCCTGACTTTAAAGGATGGTAAACTGACTTCCAAAATAAAACAAAAGTCTCATTGACCCTCCACAGGTCAAATGGAACACAGCTGCACCCAACCAGCTTGTAGCCTATGTCACCCTAGACCAAGCTGACATGGTGTAGACATACTGTATTATCCTACCAACGGATTTTTTTTTAAATTTTGTTATAGGGTAATGCACTCACCAGAGATGGAGGTAGGATGGGGTATATGAGAAATTGCCCCCAGCCTTCGCAATTCCTTCTCCTCCATTCTTCTCTCAAAATTCTGGACATGCACGCACATGTGCACAGAGTGTTTTTTAAGCCACCAGGTATGGGACTCAAACCACACAGTCGGCCATGTGGGATCCAGCTGCCTTAACCTTTGTACCATCCACCGGTCCCCAACATTTCTTTCAGAGGAAGGTTGATTCTGCTGCATTTTCCACAGATTAAAAACAAAGTCCCAGGGGCCAGCAGGTGATGTAGTGGTTAAGGCACTGGATTCTTACATGGCTGACAACAGTTCGAGTCCCTGACCAGAAGCTTGGGAATTACACCGGGCACATGTGTGTACATGCCCAAAACCCTGACAGGAGAATGGAGAAGGGACTGCTATGTGTGGCCATCCCCCCGGGGTGTGATTTCTCACTTCCGCTCTCACAGTCCCTCTCTGCCTCTCTCCAGTGAATGTACATGCCCCGTGGCAAAAACTTAAAAAAAAAAAAAAAGTCCCAGAGAGGTTCAGTGACATTCTCAAAGTGAGGAAAGCAGGACTAGATGACAAAGAACAAGGACAGAACTTGCAGGAAAATTTTCATGGATGTAAGAAGTCGAATCTCAGGCTTTTGGAGAAATCACAGCCGGCTGCTCAGGGAAGAAAACGCCCCCATTCTGCCTCTGACGCGTGGACAACTCAGCTGCTCAGAACAGCGAGGGACCCTGAAATCAATTATCCAAGTGACAGCCCAGAGTTTCCATAAACCAAGAGCAGACCGTGACACTGGGCTCCAGCTCAAGAATGCCGTCAGGAAATGCTTGTGGTGAAGGAATCATACTTTGCACAAATAAGGGCAAAGGAGTCGGGCACATTCTCCATGAGGTTTCAATTAGCGTTTTGACTTTAAAATATTTTGGTTGCTTTCAAAGCAGGAATCTATCCCTTTGAAGCAGCCAGCTCAAACACCTCGCAAGCAGAAAAGCAAGTGGACAAGCACCTCCTTGCTGTGGGTGTCATCCCTGGTGGTGCGGTGGGTGTCATTCCGGCGGTCAAGGGGCACACGGGTTCTTAGCAAGGCTGTCCAAGTCGAGGCAGCTAGAATCTGAGGCCCCAGCCGACCAGGCTAGAGAGCAGAACTGGCAGGACAGGCGGGAGGCTCTGGGCAGGATGTCCTGCCCAGCACAGTCGTAAAGACCGCAGGCCTGTGTTAGAAGTCCAGCTGGGACCAGCAGTTAGCGTAATGGCTATGTCGCTGGACTCCCACGTAGTCAACTGCGGTTTGCATCCTGGACCTGGTAGCTTAAAACTCATGCCGGGCGCGTGTGCATGCATGCCCAAGATCCCAAGAAGAGAATGGAGGAGAAGGGATTGCGGTGTGGCCATCCCCCCTGGTGGGTGATTTCTCACTTTCTGTCTGTCTGTCTCTCTCTCTATCTCTCTCTCTCTCTGTCTGTCTGGCGAGCGCATGTGCCCTATAGCAAAAACCTCTCAAAAAATAAAAGTCCGGCTCTGCCACTTACTTGCTGGATGTCAGTAGTACTTCACCTAACCTCTCTGTTCAGCAGAGACCTCTTCTAAAAACGGTATCTCACGGAGTCAGTAGAAAGATATGGTGGCCTGAGACCAGCAGTTAGCATAATGGCTATGTCGCTAGACTCCCACCTGGTCGACCGCGGTTCGAGTCCTGGACCTGGCAGCTTAACTCACACCGGGCGCGTGTGCGTGAGTGCCCAAGATCCCAAGAGGAGAATGGAGAAGGGATTGTGGCATGGCCATCCCCCCGGGGGGATGATTTCTTGCTTTCTGTCTGTCTCTCGCTGTCTGTCTGGCGAGCGCACGCGCCCTATAGCAAAACCCTCTCTCCCCGCAAAAAAAAAAGATACGGTGGCCTAGCAGCTGGTAGCAGAGTGCACTACAGTGCTGGAGGTCACGTGGCTGACCGCAGGTTTGAATCCCCAGGTTGGTCAGGCTGAAACACATCTATGCCACTCAAGACCTTGATGAGCTGGGGGCTGGGACAGGAGATCAAGGTGTAATAAGACCTCTGGAGGATGCTTCTCTCTCTCCCTTTATCCACGCATGTACATAAGCTCTCTGCCACAAATAAAAGCAAAAATTATTCGGCCAAGCAGTGGTTAAACTGGCTAAACCCCACATAGCTGACTGTGTGGTTCAAGTCTTGGACCCAGCGGCTTGAAAAACACACCAGGTGCATGTGTGTACATGCAAAAATCCCGAGAAGTGAATGGAGAAGGGACTGCAGTGTGGCCATCATCCCGATGGGGTGGAGGGTGCTCTCTTACCTTCTCTTTTTCTTTCTCTCCCTGGTGAGCATACATGCCCTAGAATTTAGAAAAACCAACAAAATTTTTGAAGCCAGTAGATGGCATAGCGGTTATGTCACCGGACTCCTACATGGCAGTTCGAGTCCCAGACTCAGTGGCTTGAAAATCATGGCAGGCACGTGTGTGTGGTACCCAAGATACCGGAAAGAGAATGGAGGTGAAGGGATTATGGTGTGGCCATCCTCCTGGGGGGTGATCTCTCACTTTTCCTCTCACTGCTCTGTCTCTCTCTCTCTCTCTCTGGTGAGTACATGTGCCTAAGGCAAAAACCTCTTCCCCACCAAAAAATTTTTTTAAATTATTTATTTATTATTATTTTAATTTGCTATATGACACATGTGCTTGACAGAGACAGAGAAAGTGAGAAAGCAAGCCGCCAGGTCTGAGACTTGAACCACAGTCAGCTATGTGGGAGTTCAGCACCTTAACCATCATACCACCTGCTGCCCACCAGTCAAAAATCTTAAAAAAAAAAAAAAAAAAGAAAAGAAAAGAAAGAAAAAAGAGATGAGCAAGCGCACAGAGAGCATGCACACCATGCCGGATGCACTGGTAGCACTCGATACCTGCCACAGGTCTTTGACTACGAGGCTTCGCACATCTTGTTGTCGTTACTGGGCAAGAGAGTAGCACCAGTGTCCCCAGACAGCAAGTCCTGGCCCGGGAGGCAGTCTGTGTGGTTTTCAGGGAAGTAGGGAAGAAGGCTATGCTGGGGTCAGGGGACAGGTCACTAGGCTCATTTCCTTCCAGCCTGGCAAGCATGCCAGCTACTTCCTTTCTCCAGGAATGTCAGACCTCTCCCTTCCCTCCCCACCTCCTCCAGGGAGCCTTCACTGACCATTCTTTGCTATCCTAAGTTGGGCTAGGGGTTAATCTCTGGAAGTGAAAGAGGCAAAGAGATAAAAACAAAACAAAACAAACAAAAAACAAACAAACAAAAATCAGGCCCCATGGGATGGATCATGCTTGTTTGGCCTGAGTGATGGTACAGGGAATTTGTTAAATTCACAGTGAATTTTAAGAAAATTTGCCAGAGGGCACATAAGCTTGCCAGAGGGAGGTGAAAAGCCAGAGAAAGTGAGAAGGCACCCCCACCCCCACAGGTATGGTCACACTGCAATCCCTTCTCCATCTCTCCCTCCTGTCAGGACTTTGGACACACATGCATACGTGCCTGGTGTGTTTCTCAAGCCAGGTCTGGGACTCAAACTATGCCGTCAGCCATGTGGGATCCAGCTGCCTAAATCACCAGGCCACAGGCTGGCCCTATATTCACAATTTAAAACCTCTCAAGGTACCTCAAAATTTTATAAAAGAGCATCATCATTTAAGGCAGAAGACCCAGAGAGCTCAGGGAAACCTTTGGCCAGTGAAGAGCTCCCTCAGGCTGCACTGGCGTCTGGGCTTCGGGGAGAGCGTGCTGATAGGGTCGTGAGTTCATGAGTCTCTTCCTATGTCTGACCCCTAATTCCACAAACATCAGCGAGAGCTCAGAAGCCATGCGGGGAGGGAAGTACTGTACCGAGCAACGGAGAGGAATCAAAGACGACAGACAGGCACAGGCTGGTGCCAAGTGGAATTCTTAGCAGGAATCAGGACAAAGGGACGTCGATGTCTACAAGGGCTAGGGGAAAGTTCTAGCAAGAGCCACTGTAAGAACTGGACCTGGGGAGGAGTCTGGCAAAGGCCTGCTTACTATGGCAGCTCCTGTCTTCTCAGAACAGCCCCTGGGGCCACGAGGGCTCCAGCATATTCTTCCAGGACCTCTCCCCGGTCCAGGGACACTCAGCAGAGAGGGGCCCTGCTTCCCCGAGGGTCTGTGGGTACTGAGTGCCGGCACAGGGGAGTTTGTTACAATCACAGTCTGAAAGTTCCCAAGGTATCTGGGAATTTTACAAAAGAGCATTCATTATCTTTTGGAGCAACTTTCAGGTAGTGAAGCGTTCCAGACTGCACTGTCTTGGTTTCCATAGGAGCTGTGCTTGCAAGAGGAAGTGCTCTCTTCCCTCTCATCGCCACCCCTTCGCCCCAGGCAGGACTAAAGCACTAATTAACAGCTCCATTTACTGAGTCCTCCCAAAGTGTCAGCCACTGTCTGAGGTGCTTGCTAATGTCCTCATTTAATCCCCATGACAACTCCAACTGCGGTGGGCGGGGCTTCAGGACTGTCTCTTGCTAAGTAGCATTAGGCCATCAAGGTGAAAACCTTCTAGAAGCAGCAGCTTCTACTTAGCTTTCTTTTCTTTTTTCTTCTTTCTTTTTCTTTTCTTTTTTTAACCACAGGGTGCATGTGCTTGCCGAGAAGGAAAGTAAGAAATCAGGTGGCCGGGGATGGGGGTGTGGAGGCCATGCCTCAATTCCTCTTCCTCCCTTCTCCTTTCAGGATTTTGGGCAAGCAACTGGGGTGGCTGCTCTTTCCCAGCCCTACAAGAGACTGGGTAAGGGGGAAGAAAACCACAACAGTCCTGGTTCTCAGATAGTGGCTGCTTCCTTCTGCAGCTAGGGTGCTATTGTTTTGCTTTCCACAAATACTCCTGGGCACCTCACCCTGGGGTGTGGCACAGTGAAAGGGATCCTCCCACTCATAAAAAGCTAAGTGTTTTTGGGGTGGGACATGGATGGCAGCTCTGGGCTCCAACCTCATTTAACTGCTGCTGGGCCAGAAAACTGGGTTCCCGGGAAGTCCAGGGAAATGGAACCTCCAGCCTGCAGCCTGGCCTTCTCCAGGAGGCAGCGGGGGTGCCCTAACCCTAACTAGGGGGTAACCCCAGCTCTGGCCCTCAGGATCGGAGAGTGAATGGTGGCTCACCAGGCTAAGGGCTCCCAACCCCACTTGCCTGTGACAAACTCACCCCTCCCCAACGGGTCAATGTCCCTGCAAAGGGTGGGGGGCGACTCAGAAACAGAAGGCCAGGTTGTGGTCCGGCCTGGTCTTCAGGGATCAGGACCAGGTCAGGTCAAGGAACAAAGAACAGAGATATTTTTAAGCCTCGTGTGAACCGTGCCGTAAACCCAGCCGGGTGCTTCGGCTGTTACAGGGGATAGGACGTAGTTATGGCAAGAGCACTTTAAACCGTTCTCTGCCTTTTTCCATATGGCTTCCCAAGAGGGGAAAATACTGTGTATAAATACATACACTGATGATACTGGGATTTACCGTGCTAGCAGCCCGGAGAGGTAGGTGTCATTATGCCCGTCCTATCAGATGAGGAAAATGAGACAGAAAAGACTAAGCCACTTGGCTAGGATCACCGGACTCTAAGTAGGGAGCTAGGTCTGTGTCTGTCAGGATCCCACTGGAGGACACTGAGTGTCCACGGAGAACACAGGCCTGTCCCAGGCTGGAGTCTCAGCCCAGAGCCACAGAATCATCACAGAGAGCACTGGCAAGGAACCCACCAGCGCAGCTAGTCCAGCCTCCGTGTTACAGACAAGCTGAGGCCCAGAGCAGGAAAGTGACTTTCTCAAGATCACACAGCAAATCAACGACTGAGTGAAGACTGTCAGAACCTCTGGCTGGCTCGTCCTCAGCTTCAGGTCTCAGCGTCAACGCCACGTCCTTGGAGCTCTCCTGAACCACAGCCCAGACTCGACCCAGTCTCCCTCCGCTCACTCCCAAGGCTCCCTGCACACTGCGACAACACTGAGCACAACCGCAAGCCCGCACCTGTGTGAACCGCCCACTTTAGACTGGTCTTCTGAACCACACCGAAGCTGTCCCCGAGCCTGGCACGGTGCGGCAGCACGCCCGGAGCCAGGCGCGCGTGGGGTTTACCTTCGCTGTCGGTGAGCACTTCCATGCGCCCACTGAACATGGCCTTCAGCATGGTGTCCTGCTTGGTCAGCGTCTGCATGGTGGTGTAGTAGAGGGCCCCGCCCACATTCAGCTTCACGTACTTGGAGCTGGGGCTCGTGCCCTTGAAGGAAGTGGTGCGGGTAGCAGCCGCAGGCACCGCTGAGCTCACCACACTTTCTCCTGACATCTCTTCCTGCCAGTGGAGAAGACACGGTCACACGCCAGGGCTGAGTCAGGCCTCCCGGTGTTGCTTGGTCCACACAGATGCGGCACTGAAACCTCAGACCCACCCAGGCTCCTCATACTCTGACCTCACCTGCGGACTCCGTAGGCACCAGTCTGCCACCAGGCCTTGGGTTACGTGGCCTTGCTGCCTGCCCAGTACCCCATAAATGAACACCCCAGCAGCTTCTGCCCAGGGCTCTCGTTTCTTTAGTGCCACATACCACTGAACAGCTATTACAGAAGCGCCGCCTTTCAGCCAAATACTGAGAAAACCCGGTAGGACCCCAACTCCCACCCTAATTCTTCCTGTGGGAGGAGTTTCTGAAGACTCAACAGCAGACACAGAGAATCTTAGAACCCAGTTACTGCGAAACCAGACTTCCTGGGCCCAGCCACGGGAGCACACGAAGGAGGCCACTGCTGCACACCAACTGGGGCCACACGAAGGCCAGGGCTCGGTCCCAGCCCAGGCTAGCAGGCGGGGTGTGGTGGTGCACACCTGTGCAAGATGATCTCCATATGGCAAAATCCTGCTAAAACGCCATCTCTCAGAACCAGCAGGGGGCACAACATAATGGTCACGTCGCCGGATTCCCACATGGCCAACCTTGGTTTGAGTTCCGGACCCAGAGACTTAAAACTCACACCAGGTGTGTGTGGGCCCAAAGAAGAGAGTGGAGGAGAAGGGATTACGGTGTGGCCATCCCCCTCTCCCAGATGGTTATTTCTCGCTTTCTGTCTGTCTCCCTGGTGAGTGCACGTGCCCTAGAACAACAACAACAAGAAAACTCTAAGAAAAGAACTCTTTCCTCCCTTTCTACCTGTACATGCTCTCTTGCTCATTAAAAAACACAGAGAGAAAACCCCCATTCTAGTGCTGCCCCCAACAAGAACCGGTGACACTCTGCTGGCACTGCCTGCTCTCATGTACCTCTCCGCCCAGGAGGTGGGCACAGTCTCTGATGCAGGCAGGCCCGGGCAGGGAGACTGGTAACCTGCTCCAGGAAGAGTAAATAAGTAAAATTCTGGAGCTGGAGGAGATGTCCGAGATGTCCGGCTGACTTCCCTGAATCTGGGACACAGCCCGAGACAGGCTCTAGGAGCTGGCCTGGGCGTCCATGGCATTCCCCAGAATATCAGACAAGGCCACGCCATCATCCTGCCCAAATGCAGACAAAACACAAGCGCTTTCCAGGATACAACAATGACCAAACACCCTCGCCGATGTTAGTTTGACTATGCACCCCCCCAATTCATGTATCGAGCCATTGTAATGGGATTAAGAGGATTCAAACTTGTTCTGATTATTGTGTGTGTGCATGGCTTTGGGAAGAGATGAGTGATTGGGTGGCGCCCCATGATTAGGTCCTAGGAGTTTACAAGGAGACGAAATGAGGCAGTGGCCACAGGATTATAAAACACTGCTTTTGAGCAAGACCTGCAGGTGGCTTAATGGTTACATCACTGAACTCCCACATAGTCAATGTGGTTCAAGTCCCAGACCCAGAGACTTTTAAAACTCACACAGGGTGCATGTGCATGCATGTCCAAGATCCCAAGAGGAGAAGGGATTGTGGCATGGTCATCCTCTCTGGAGGGTGATTTCTCACTTTCTGTCTCTCTGGCGAGCACACACTCCCTATAGCAAAAATCTCTCTCAAAATAATGATAATGATGATGATAATAATAATAATGTTCTGCCCTCTGGTATTTTCTGGTATCTTTGGACTTTCCAGCCCCCAGAACTGTGTTGGCAAATTACCTAGTCTTGAGTAATGCAGTAATGGACTACAGATACCCGGATAATGTGGTTCAGCTGTTTCTTTATCAATCAGATAAATTAGCCATTCTTCCAGCCTTCAGGGCAGGACGGCCAGGGCCCAATCACAGCTTACAGCGTTAGTCCTGCTTCCTGGCAGCCCTCAGCGCAAAGTCTCACTTCTCTGAACCCTCCCCCAACCCCCAGCACACACCCAAATCCTCTGAGATGCCCCACAGCTCTCCCTCAAAGCAAAACGGAAATAAAGTCAACTTGCCCAACTGTGGGGATGCTCCTTGTGGTTCCTGGCTGGAGGGCACTGACAGTGCACAACTTTTTAAACTGTTTCCTAATCCGGGGACAAGACTGTTTAATTTTATTTTTTTAAGTCATAGAGCACTGGAGAGAGACAGAGAGAGGAAAAGTGAGAAATCACCCCACAGGGGGATGGCCTGCCGCAATCCATTCTCCTCTTGGGGTTTTGGGCATGCATGTACACGTGCCTGGCATGATTTTCTAGCTGCCAGATGTGGGGCTTGAACCTCAGCCAGCCATGTGGGAATCCAGCGCCTTATCTACCACGCCGCGAGCTGGCCTATTTTTAAATTCTTTATACCGTTCTCTTTTCCAGATCTTCAACAATAAACATGTATTATGTTTATAACGGGTAAAACACAAATATCAGTTAAGCGGACCAGGGGACTAAAAAATGACAACCTGCAGCTGCAAATGTAATGGCTTAGTGACAGTCCACAGTCAAAGGCCATGGGTCAGCTACCCTCTGTATCCCACCCCCAGACTCAACCAGCCTCCAGTGGAAACTGTACATCCATGTAGTGAGGACTGCGGTGGCGGCCTCTGTATAGAACCCATGCAGGCTTTTCTCGTGTCATTTACTCCCTAAGCGATTGCATGTAACAGCTTTCTACCCGGCATTTACATTGCATTAGGTATGGCTAAGTAGGGGGCGGGTAGGCAGTGGTGCAGCGGTAATGAAACCGGGCCCACGTGGAGAGGCCCTGGGTTCACAGCCTGAGACTTGTCTGAGCACACAGGGACACACACTTGTACCCGTGGCTCAGATGGAGATGGGTTGTGACACGAAGACCTTGGTGGTGGTGCTTGTCTTTCTCTCTCATGGAAGAAATAAATTTTTAAAAATAAATAGTAAGAAAATAAAGTACATAGGAGGAGACGCATAGGCTATATCCAATTATCACGCGGTCTTCTGTAATGGGCTTAAGCAGCTGCAGATGTTGGTATTCCAGAGGTGCGGGAGGATCTTAGTCAAGGTTACCTAACTCTCTCACCAACCCTCCCACCTCCATCCCTCTCAAGAGGCCTGGAAGCCACCCACTGGGGAACTGGAGAAAGTGAGGCCTATGGAATGGAATAAAAAAATGGCCTCCTGGGGGGAAAAAAAGTATTTTCTCAAGAAACTATCCCACTTCCTCAAGTGGAAGAGCTTCAGAAAGTTACAAAGACAAGTTTTCAAAAGCCCAGGCTTAGCTCACCTGGGGTGTCCGCAGCCTGATACCAAACATAAAAGACAAGAGGCCAGAGGCCGAGAGGAAGCCATTACCCCTCCCTCCCAGCTTCCCTTTGAAATCGGTCCCCAGAGGCCCTACACTGACAGTTAGAGCCAACCATTTCCCTAGAGAAGCTCTTTGTCCAGGAGATAGGAGCTGCTCACAGGAATAGGGCTTCCAAGAACTTTTAGTGCCTGGAAGGGGTTAAAAAAAAAAAAAAAAGGCTTACAATTGTGCCTTTTTTGGGGAGGGGGGGTTGTTTTGAGAAATTTGCCCAAAAATGGAAAGAGCTGTTTGTTTTATTTTATTTATTTATTTTTGCCAGAAGGTGCAGGCACTCAGCAGAGAGAGACAGAGTGAGAGGGAGACAAGAATGATCCTCTATGAGGTATGGCGCCCCCACTGCCCTTTTCCTCCACTTTCCTCTCCTGGGATTTGGGAACGCACGTACACGTGTCCAGAGTGCTTCTCACCAAGTCTGGACTCAAACCATGCAGCTGGCCATGTGGGATCCAGCTGCCTCAACCACTGGGCCACAGAGCTGGCCCAGAAATACTTGCTTAAGTACCTTTTCCGGATCTAAATTTACATAGTAATAAATGAGTTTATGAGAAATGGTCTTGTATTTTGTAAGGCACCTGCCATGCGAAATACATTATGTACCTTTTCTGGCTTTCTAAGTCCTTTTTAGAGATAATCTGCATGTAGCCCAGCATATTTTAAGTGTACAGCTTGATGAGTTTGGGTCAGTATATGCATCTATGTAGTACTCAATCCAATCAAGATAGAGAATATTTCACACTGGGACCAGCAGATGGCATAATGGTGGTGTCGTTAGACTCACGTAGTTGACCTTGGTCTGAGTCCTGGACCTGGTGACTTAAAACTCAAACTGGGCGCATGTGCGTGTGTGCCCAAGATCCCGAGAGGAGGATGGAGAAGGGATTGAAGTGTGGCCATCCCTCCTGGGGGGTGATATCTCACTTTCTGTCTCTCTGTCTCTCTGGTGAGTACATGTGCCCCATAGCAAAAATCGCTCTTAAAAAGAGCGAGAGAGAGAGAGAGATTATTTCCATGTCTTTCAGAACGCCCCTTTCTGCCCCGTTACCACGTACTTTCTACTGCCATGCAGGACTCCTTACCATGGCAACATACTAGAAGACCACTATCATCATTTTCAAGTTTTGGACTTGGATACCACGGCCCAGAGAGGATCAGTCACTTCTTAAAGCCAGGAGGTGAGTCAGGGAAAAAGCGAGTGAAGACACAGACAGGTCCTGGCTGGCCCAGAGCCCATCGTGCTTGGTATATTTAGAGCTGCGCCATGTAAGTAGAGAAAGGAACGCCTCAATGCCCTTTCTCAAAAGTATAAAAAGCTCTGGAAAAAGATGGGATGAGGTAGCTGTCTGAGTCTAGCCCATCTATCAAGGGGGGGACAATGGCAGGCCTCCCTCACAGACCTCTCATGAAAGCCAGGCAGGAAACACTCAAATCGTGATTATTCTAGAATGCTCTCAGAGTCTCAAATTATCTTCCCTTCTTTGGCAACTGTTTCCAGCTCTAATGACAGACTGAATTACTAAGAGATAAAGACAGAAACCAGCCTGATCCAGTCTCAGACCCCAGATAAGGCCGGGAAAGTTCTGAACGCTGCCTGAGCCCTAACCTCCAAACGTCGGT